GGATGTTCCTTACAAAATTAGATATTTCAAGTAGGCATATTTTCATAATTTGAGCCGTTCCAAGCAAAAACCCCCTTATGTAATCTGACAGAATTTTACGTCACAATAGAAAAAGCGACGTCATTGTTTTGTGACAAAAACTGCAATCAAAATCTATGGCGCACTCGTTCCAACTAAATTCTTTGTTTTACGTCTCAGAATTTTCTCCGCTGTGCTTTCTGCATATTTTCTTTCATGACTATTGTCTTTTTAATATTATATCTGACTCTGATTGTTGTCAAACTACATATACATTACACATTAAAAGGACCTAATAGCGTTCTGACTAAATACACATAAATTTGTCAACACTTCGACATTATTCTGTTCCTTGTACAACATAAAACATGCAACTGTTATTTAAAATTCAGATTTACAACGACTCTTTCTTTATTATTAATTGAATTTCAAAAACGACAAAAAATAAGTACATGCAATGATGATATTGAGTGTAAAAATATTTTTAAAAAGGAAGGAAGCTAAGAGTACTTTGAAATGTGTTTTTTTTAATCCGAAGTCTTGGCGAAAATTGATTGGACTTAATGACATATCAAGAAAACTGCACATGGATCAACACCAATCAAAACTGAATGACAAAATTGTTAAACCACATCAATGCCAGATCTAAATCCGGAATATTTTTTTTTTTCATTTATTGTAGACCCAGAAACTCTTGGAAGAAAAGTGACACTAGTTCAGCTAACAAAGCGACATTAAATGAATAGACATAATTACATCCGACATTCTCCTCTTTTTGTTGTTGAAAAGATCGATAATTTGACGCTGTCAATACTGTTGTAACAACACCCACCACCATCACCACCAAAAAAATAAAGAATATATGTAATAAAGTATATAAAGAAATAAATATTTTAACAAAATTTTGGAAGTTCTGAAAAGTACCGTATTCAACATGCACACGTACATTATTTTATCTAATTGCTTGTCAAGTTCTTCTACCCCCCCCCCCCCCCCCCCCCCCCGGCATCATTGCATGCTAATGTTAATAGTGAAAATTTACAATTAGAAAAAAAAATGCGGAGAGGGGCCCCAATGCAACCTCCCCCTGAATTTGTTTTTTTATTTGCATGCTTATGTGCATGATTGTAATCACAATATTTTTTCACCTGAGTGTAAATCATAAACGTTCTGACATGTTTTTAAAAAGTATGTGCATGGGAAAATATTTAAGCGTTATCATTTGTAGTGGACCTGTACCAAGACAACACTTTGACATTGTAGATGCAAATGTGAAAAAACAAAACTAAAATGAGAATTAAGAATGTTTTTGAGCGGTCACCCATCCGAGGGTTAAACATGCTCTCCGTTGCTTAACTTGCCTGAAATAGAGACTCTACCGCATCAGTAGAGAAGCTAGCTCAGTAGCGAGGCAGTATAAATTCCCTATATTACTGTCCGCTACAGATGTCAAACACAAAAGTCGGATATATCTTGTATAAAAAGGGTTTCCAGATAACTTTGGAAATATCTTGTATAAAAAAGGTTTTCTACATATAACTTGTCCTCTTTTATCCTTAGCAGTAAAACTCAAGGTGATTACCCTTTCTCAATGTTTTTTTAATTTAAATAGATCGATTGATTGTTTGTATGTTGTTAAACGTCCATCTCTAGAATTCTTTAAAACTCATATGGAGATGCCACCACTTGCCGGTGGAGAGCTGCAAATTTTGTCCTATAACTGGCACTCAGGGCCTTTGAGCAGTGAGGGATCTTTTTTGTGCCAGCACTTACTGCGACACGGGACCGCAGTTTATACAGACTCATCCGAAGGACGGGTCTCCATGATAATTTAACTAGAAGGCTAACACAAAAGTAATCTACTCAACCCCCCCCCCCCCCACTTTCAGAACACATGGTTGGTAAGGATGGTCAGATGTTTGAATATTTGATGTTAACAAAGTGATAGAGACCCCCCCCCCCCCTTTCTGCACACAGTGGAACTTCTTTGTATGTGTTAAAATTTTGGGTAGACTGGGATAGAATATATTTTACTAATACATGTATGTGAGAAGCATTTTATTCGAAGACAGTCCAATGTGCAGATTTCGCACGTAAGACATGTTCTCTTTTCTATAAAATTTCTTTATTTTTTTTTTTATTTCTGTGAAGACGGTAATCGTTGTACATTTGTGTCTGTATGGTTCAAGGATTTTTTAAAAGCTGCTCCGAATAGGCCCCTGACTTACACTTTTTCTTTGTCTCTATTTTTTTAAAATACATTTTCAGATGACCTTCATGATATATAAGTGTTGACCTGCAAAACTTGCCTCATAACAACCTGTTGTTTTTTTAAACTGTGACATGTATGTTGATTTTTTTTTTAATTTCAGATCCGATCACATAACTGACTTAAAAATTGAGAAAGTATACGTCTAACTTTTACTTTCATAAATCTATGCGTAAAGCACGTTCAAGAGGATCGACTCTCGTAATTTTGTTGTTTCATATAGATGGGGAAGTATGTTTGGCAATCAACTACATATTAATTACATGTATGTAATTGTACTGTAGAAGATGTACATGCATTTTTTTAAAAAGCTGAATCATATGCCTTATCCATTTTCTCCGTTTTTCAGGTCATGCTTTTATTATAGTTATTTCATAATTTGAAATCCGAAAAGTATACCACTTTAACTATTCATAAATTACAGATTTAACATGTATATATCTAGTCTAAATTGCCTTTATACTAGAATAGTACTTATATTCATTCTTTTATTGCACCCTCCCCCTTTCCTTCTAATATTTTGTTTAACAAATGAGGACATAATTAAGCAAAGAAAATGCATATATATAGTTGAACATTTAGAAAAAAGGATAAATGATATACCGGTATCATCATTTACATTGATATACTATAATTTACAGAATCCTTATATCGTGTTCATTAATAAAAGCGCAAGCCCCTGCCCCTTAATGCTGTCTCTTGGTCAGTGTTTTGAAGGCAAAGGTTGAACAAGTAAAATCAATTATCAAAAATAAATAAAGGGAGCTAATATATTTTTTTGTAGTTGTTGCTGGATTTGAAAGATTTGGGTTGAACCTAAGCGGTAAAATTGAAAAAGAATTTTTCTTTATAAAAATCCTATCAATTATTTGTGATGTTTTCTCCAGGTCTGAGCGAATCAGTGGACTATTTAAACTCCATTGACATATTTTTAATTAATATCAGAAAAAAATGAACTGAACTTTATCATGAAAAAGAAAAAAAATGTTTACAACAAATTAAACATATATATATATTAGTCAGAACGGCAATACAATAGCAAGTTATTCCGTACAAGTAATTCATGATTTTATTACGTCGCTATACTGTCGACATCGCTACAAGAGACAATTTATAAAATATGACGTAAGCCGTATAAACGATGCATACTTTGAATAGCTGTAAATCCGTAACAGAGCAAGATACACCTGTACTATTTACAGGTTATATTCACTTAACGTTCTACATTATTTTTCAAAAAAAAAGTTATTTTCGAAAAATTTTGACATAAGGGGGTTTTTACTTGGAACGGCTCATTTAATGTTTAACCACCTTATTTTTCTTTTAAATATTAAATTTACATTTGTTGCATTTTTAAAAAGCTATTAAAAAGAGCAAGAGCCACTTAGAGCCTTTTTTTGGCCCTGAGAATTTTTGAAAAATCAAAACTGTTCAGTTTGGGTTGAAAATGCAGTATTTATCACTTAGAATGTTTGTGATTATGTCTCTATTGAACATGACGTAATTTTCCCTCTAGTCAATACATTATAATGTCACAAAATACGTCATTTTTCCCATATCCTGTAAATTCGTTTGAAAATGGCCTAAAGTTGAAGCAATTTTTCAATATTTCATAAAATATGCAATTACATAATGAAAGATCTATTTCTGAAAATTGAAAAACATGTTTTAATTTTTGGACCGTGGACTGTGCTCATATTTAAATTCTTTGTTGAAGGTAGTCAAATACGCATGCTTTCTGCAAAATTCAAGAACATAGCCTGTTTTCCAATACTTAAGATTCTCAAATAGAAATTTTAATATGGGAAATGAAAGCACTAAATTTCTATTTAATTTTGATATATGAAATGGTAACGAGGATGATAGTTTATTACTTGATATAATAAGGGCAGGGCCATTTTATGCATAAAGTGAACCTAGCTCTTTCTCTATACAGAATAAAGTAAGGAGTTTTTCAGTCATTGGACACTTTTAATGATCTTTTCATTTTATAAAACCAAAACTTCAAGAAAATGATATCATTGAATTAAATACAAATCTTCCTTAAGTTAAGAAATGACTAATACATAAGAACTTGGAACATTCTCCAAAAAGTAACAATATAACTATAATTCAGCTGCCTTAACTTTGACGTAATTTCCTTCATGCATTATTCATCAGTTAAAATTCCACTGAATCTAATGCGAACAATGACTTGTGTCGGCTCTTATTCCTCTCAGATTTATCTTTTATATCCATCTTTGATTTCCTATGGCCAATCAAACTCAAGCTAAATCACAAAAATCTTTGTCTTCCCTGTTCATATTAAGGAGGTATTAATTACTTGGAATTTGACAATTTACGTAATAAATCTTAATAGTTATTGTTTCTGAATGCAATGCAGATTGTCCATTTATTTAATTGAGAATTAATTAAATGTGGGATTTTAATTTCACAGCAATCAGGCTGGGTTTATTGATGCTCATTTTGAAATGATGTTAAAATTTCAGCAATATGTAACCTCACTTTAAATGTTACGAGTCAATTTCACAGTTATTTTTATTTAAAAATTAAATACATGTATTATGGGTAAAAGTAAAGTAATCTTTAAAAACTAAATTATATCAGGCATCACATTAAAGTGATTTATCCTCGATATAACAGATTAAATTGGTGTCCCTGCTTTGTTTTACCTGCCTCTTTACATCATTGATTTCTGTTTTTTTTATTACAGGTATTTCTCCACACCACGACAAGAGCCTCTCTCAATACTGCTCTTTTAAAGATATTCCTAAGTCTGAAGTGTGAGGCAGGGGACAGACAAGCAATTACTGGTCTGTATGAAAACCCTCCGCAGTAAAAATCAATGGAAAAAGCAAGAGCCAGTAAAAGTGATCACTTGTTTATTTTCACAAATGAAAGATAAATTGACGGCAGGCGATTCAATACCTGGACAAGATGGCAGATCCCTGCGGCTCTCTGTCGGAGGAAAATCTAAGGAAATGGAAGGAAATTGAAATGGAGGGGTTAAAAAACTTTGACTTTACAGCTTGATGGTTTCACTTAATTTAATGGCTTACTTCTCCACACAGGAATTAGGACCGAGCCCCCACCCTCTTTTCTATAATATCACCAGTACAAACAATAACCTCAACATGACACCTGGTTATCTTCTGTCTCAACCAGGGGAACCAAATGATCCTGATTCAGGGCACCAAAAAACTCAGCGAGCCACAGTGATAGCCTTCATGGGAATTTTTGTGTTTGTAACCCTGACACTGACAGTGGCTGTGATTGTGTTTTGTAAGAAAAAGAATTCTGTGTTTCTGCTCCAGAAGTCGGATCTGCACGCGGATCTGGATCTAGAACTAGAGGACATCCAGACGGATATTTCGGATGATTTTGGAAGTTTCACTTTGGAGATCACTGATGCCAAACAAAGCTTTAGCGAGTCTGATCAACAGGATCTGGGTCAGTATGAAGCTTTGTTAGCTAAAAATAGCACACTGAAACAGTCCACCAGTTTGCCTGTGAGTTTTGATACCTGCCAAGAATATCAAGAACTGCAGACTTTACCTACAAAGTCAGAGACTTGTGAGGGAATTAAATCATCTTCCACCCCGCCATCATGCCAAAACAACAGCAACAAAGAAGTCCAGCATGAAGTTATAAGCCATAAATGTAGCAGTGATTTAATGTGCCAGTCATGTGAACAGACCAACAGGAGTACAGAGTCTGTATCACAGACAGACACACAGACAGAACAGACCTATGTTTTTCCAGTGAGTGGAATAATTTCTCAGGAAGATAGTGATTGAATTTTATGTCTTTTTAACAAAGTACAACCAAATATATTTCATACACATGGATTGCATGTTTGATTTCTGTCAAAATTCACTCTAGTTCTTCTAACCATCAATCGTTTCTACAATACATGTACTACAACATGTACAAATTCCATTCTGTCAAGATTTTAAAAAAACATTTAGTTTCTCTTTCAATTAATTTAAAATTATATATTAATACAGGCACATTGTGTAATTTGTAAGTTTTACAGATTAGTTGTAACTTTTACTTTCTAAAGCTAAATTATCCCCAAAAGAAGTGGGGTAATAATTTGGATGGAGGGTCAGGGAAAAGTACAGCTTTTTTCATCTTTAATTTTACAGAGCAATTAATTTTATCAGTGAACATTATACATAGCTGTAGTTTTTATTTATTTATTTTTTTTTTTTTGGGGGGGGGGGGGGGGGGTAGTTAACATTCAATGAGTTTATTTTCATAAGATGCCATTCACTGTAATGCTCTTTATTTAGGAATTTTATCGAATGTCTAGTAGAAAATTTGTTTTTGTTTTCCGTATCACATTTCCTTTTCTTAAATCTGCACCACATCAGAACCTTGCTTATGGTATAATTATATTTATCCACTACCTGTTATATTTCAATTCCTACGTAATAAAGTTCATTCTATGATGACAATTGTCTTTTACTTATTTTCATTTCCTAAATTTAACAATATCAAGTGATCAAGTGGACATAATTCTGTGTATTCACTCATATTTTACAAGAGGAAAAATGGCTCTAAGAGCCCCCATTATCACGATGAATTTATTAATTTGTCAGGGAAAGGAATTTGTTAATGCAGGGTACCAGCAAATTCTACAAATATTGAGCCACCAAAAACCTAATTATTACATAGTAAAGAGAGTTACTAATATTGTTCTAACCAAGCCTTGCATGTTTGGCATTTGGGCACCATTTCTAAAACAAAACCAATATTACAGTTCTCCATAATACCAGTAAAAACTATCACATGACATCAATTGTGACTCAATTTGAAGGTTACCGTACACACGAGACAATGAATTACTAATGGACTTGTAAAATAATATTTTCCTTATCCAGTATTATGGAGAAATGGTCCATTCACTTAGTTAATTTGTACTAGGACATAAGGATATATATAGGGATTTTTTTGTCAATATGTTAGCACTAGTCTGATATATTAGTACACCTTATCTGTGGTAATCTACATTGACCTAGTACAAGGTGTTACATTGAGGGCTTCTCTGTGAATTGTTAATTATACAATGTTAATGTTTCTGTCTGATTTTTTTGTTTATATCTTCACCAACAACAATAAATTTCCTGGATTTATTATTCATGGAAAATCTATATTATTTACAACTTGTCAAATCAATTGAAAGTAATACACAACCCATTAATATAATATCAGATACTACGATTGAGTTCTTGGTTATCAAAACTTAAGAATCTGCTGACAAGGCCATTAAGTATGATAGTTTCTTTATTTCTTAAGCAACCTCAATAGTTAAAGTGTCAAATTTTATGACTTGGGCATCTTAAAAAGACATTATGAATTGTATAAAAACTTAATATCATTGTTACAAATATAAGAAAAACTCTATGATTTCAACATCAACAGAAATATGTAAATCAAGAAAAAACCATGAGGCTTACATCCCATGATTCATATTAAAAATTTCAGTGCAAAGGAATTATTTGCCTGTGATTTTACATCAATACAGGGTTTAATATTAACATTTATCAAATTGCCCATGTTCACTTCATTATGTTATCAGACAAGTCAATCTTCTGATGCACTTGTCTGATAGCACAGCTTATTTTTTTACCATTATAGATTATCCAGAATACCAAACGAGAAAAGCAACCCCTAGGAGCAAGAAAGAACAGACCATTATTTGAAATATTAAATGTATGAAAATTTTCAAGTTCATGTATAGATTAAACTTTTCATGAAAAGAAAATTCCATCACAATCCCATCATACCTCAGGGTTTTATGAATATTTTCTGGCTGCATGTTTTATCATCATGCCATACTTAGTTTGCATTGCTGAACACTTTTCCCCCTCTTCTACTGTGTTAATTTGACTTCAATATTGATAATCAGATAGCTGTATAACAGAGAACACGCTATTAATTCTGCAGAAACTAATGATTCCCCCAATCCTTATGTAAACTCCTCCCATGATAAACTTCCTCATACACTGAATAAATCAATGTCTTAATCCCTTAAATAATACAGCTATAATAGACCAAAGCACAACTGTTAGCTTTAATCAGTCTCAAGGGACATAACTCTACCATCCTATTACTACAGTGTGAAAATGTATGAATGAAGTTTCTTTGAAGCTTCCTGGAACACAGAAATGATAACGAGGAAAAAGTTTGATGTTAGAAGCTGAACGTGATATTTCATTTCTAGTATGTTTGTAATCAGCACTAAGCTCAGAGATAGTTGGGTTACTATTTGTAGCATGAAGTATTACAATCAGAATAAGTATTGTGAAGTATGTACTACATGTAAATTATAAATGATGTTTTAGCAGTAAACGTAGTTAAGTCTTCCTGAAATTGTGCTGCAAAATATATGAATCCTGCATTATTCATTGGTAAAACATATCTACAAATTACTACAATAAAAAATCCCACTAAAATATATACACATCCTTCAATTTAACCAAGGATGCACAATTTCATTCAAAATTGTCCCAATCCAAAATTTTAAACAAATTTCATCAAACTAACTCAATCACTAATGCAGATGATTACTGTGTAATGTATTCACCACAGGGGCCATGCAGTAACAATGTCTGCATGGAGCTTCTCCATAGACCATACACTTGTTTTCCTCTATTTAGAGACGACCTTGACCTACCTTGATGACCTTGGCTAGCGCATCGGCCCCTTTGCTGGAGAGACTACAGCCTGTCAGGTTGATGGAGCTGATAGATGTCTGGTTCTTTATTCCTTTACACAGGACTACAAATAACAGACACATTAGTCACTCTGTCTATCTTAACAACTCACACAGAACTATAGGTTATAGACACATTAGTCACTCTGTCTATCTTAACAACTCACACAGGACTACAAATAATAGACACATTAGTCACTCTGTCTACCTTAACAACTCAGACAGAACTATAAGTTATAGACACAATTGTCACTTTATCTGTGTACCTTAGTATATGTATACATCAGTCAATCTACCTGTCTTCCTTACTAAGTTACTCCTCAACTTAATCTTATAAAAATTGTACTTGGAGATTCTATAAGGTTCAAGTTATAATTTTAACCAAAAATTCAAGTTTGAACATTCGATTACATTCAAAAAATTTCAGCAACATACTTCATATACCAGAGCTGCCAACATTCTGAAATGACAAATAGTAAGGCGGGGTCTAGGGACCACCTAGGCCGCCTGTCGCTGAAGATGTTTTGTTAATGGACATGTAATCTGAGGCATGTTTCCATTTTGTTTACTTTAAAAAATTGACATAAATGTGATCAGCCTTCTAGAACCGAAACGATGATACGTTGTAAGCGTTGTAAGAATTATGAATATATTACAACAGTAGAAACTATAGATTGCCAGCTATGAAAATATCGGTTTTATATACTTTGAACGAGAAAAACTGAAATCGGAAGAATATAGAGAGAAATCGTAAGGCGTATTTTAGACGCTGATTTCGTACGCCTTACGCCAAAATTGAAGGGGTTGGCAGCTCTGCATATACAACAAAACTTAATTTTTCAAATAATTGCCAAGTTAAGTACATGAGCACTGCTTACCTTCTAGCCCTCCGTCCCCGATCCTACAGAACTCTACTGACAGGTGGTTCAGCGTCTCATTCTTTGCCAGACCCTGTGTTATGAAAAAGAAAAATATTCTATGATTTGATTCGAACATATTTTATTATGTACTGGTAATGAAACATAAATGGATTGGGCAGCAGGCATTGCCTAGATTAGCCCTCTACACACAAATATTCTTTGATCTGAAATGAATCAAGCAAAACTATTATTAAAATTGGTATCAATAAAACTTTGTTGCTTTTGACTGTTTGATACATGAAAGATTTTGAAGAGCATAAGAGTTATTTCCCTTTAAACTCAATTCTTACAGCTGTCCAAAATACATGAAAGTATTAAGAAACTTGGTTCTTTTTGTTCACTCTCTCTGGGAACAACCAGGATTTCAGGTAAAGAAATAGAGAATATTCAATGTTTTGTAGTTGAATATGGAATTTATTTCATGAATGGGACAGAATTTTTTGATATTTTCACGAGTGCAAAGCACGAGTGAAAATATCAAATCAAAAGCCTGAAAGGCTTCAATGGCGTCGAACAAGAAAAACAATTTCAGAAGATCTGAAGATATGTCAAGTGAGTGACTCCGGTAACATAATAATGAAATAAAAATAGTTTTAACACAAATACAGTCTAGGGCCTTATGTCCTGGTCCGAATGAAGCAGGGTTCGAATTGACCAGACATCGTCAGAAATGTTCATGCTCAATATCAATCTAATTTCTTTTCCTATGAAGGGCTTCATAAATTTATATATTATTCTTTCTAATTGCCATGTCAGGGCGTTGTTCTGCAGTATAGTGATTGCATCTAAACTACAACCATGACTCTACTGTTACAAATACGATCGACCTACGATAGGGCGCTGTAAACAAATGGAGGAAATGGATAAATACAGTATTACTAGTCAATATCAATGGCTGTTCGGATAAAATTGGACAGAAGATTGAAAAAGTAAAGCTAAGATTAAGAAATTCAATCTTAATAGTCTTGTAGTATTCATGATTATTTTGTAATTATTTTACCGTCTTTAAGGTTGTTTGTATTACAGTAATCGGTCCCAAAATGTTATTCATGTCATTCGACGCACCCTCTCTGTAGAAATTCATCCGCAACAACCATAACATTTTTCTTGCATAAAAATTAAACATAATATCGTTGTTTTGTAGCAGAATTAATTGAAAATACAATTGACGTTATTTCATATTCAAGCTATTATTCATTGTGAATGTTTTAAAAGAAATTGGTTTACAGATTTTGCTATTTTCTATTGCCGTTGCATCCACTGACACATTCGGTAGCGTAAATCTGACCGATCACTAGATGACGATCGAGCTTCGCTCGACGCCATAAAAATCCTGTCTCAAGAGTGAAATAAATTCCATATTCAACTACAAAACATTGAATTTTCTGTTTATTACATTTTTGAAAAGTTTCTTAGATTTTTTCTTTGCCTCTGTCTTTTTGTAATACATTGTACAGTCATAAGCTACATGACATCATAGTTGAGCGGTTGAGACGTCATATCTAAGTGAGGTGAAAACATTGTAAACATGGATTTATCAACATATTACGGGTAATTTTTACAGTTTCATTCTCTGTCAGAATGATTTATTAATTTCTTTCTATCTTATTTCAGGTCAAGGAAGATTTTTTTACAACACTCTCCATTATGGGAAGGAAAATCGAGAGTTTTACCGCACTTTTGATATTTGTCACACTGTGACAGGATATCATTTTTATTCAATGAATAAATTACAGTATTTCACTGGTAAAAATGTAATAAAACCCCTGTATTTTAGACAAACGCCTTCTTAATGTTTACTGAGTGATCATTTCAAAAGGAAAACCCTTCTTATTTTAGACAAAGACCTATTTATATGTGTATTGCATGCACATTTTAAATGAAAAATCCATGTAATTTTGGACATGGACCTAATTGCAAATTTTCTAAGTGTATATTTCAAGAGGAAAAACTTGTTAATTTAGACTGAGACCTAATCTTCATGCTTACTAAGTGTACTTTTCAGAGGAAAAATCCCTGTAAATTTTTTTACACAGTGGTGTACCTTGATGAGTGTCTGTAGGTCCCTCTCCCTGAGGGGTAGTCCCTGGAGCTCCAGACAGGCCAGTGTGGGGGTACACATCAGGCACTCCTTCAGGGCCTTACACAGTCTGTAGGTGATCTCCTTAGACCTGATAGATGGCATCTTACGCTTCTCTATCAACGCTTTCTTCTCTGTACCAACAAGAAACACAAGTTGTGAGCTCGACTTTTTAAAAATGAATGTATCTCACTTCATCTTTAAAAATTTTTTTGATTGCCTTCCCTGATCTACTGGCTAAATTCAATACTTTTTTTTATAACATACAATATTTTTTTTCTTGAATTTCCTCACCATCAATATGTATGTTGAAATTTTCTGGGGAAAAAAAAATTTCTCACCTACCTTCCGAAGCATTTTTTTTTTTAAACTCAGAATCAGGACATGGCAAACAAACTTTATTTCAAAGATGGCCTCTTACGAACTGCCTGACTTTATTTATTAATGTACAGAAGTTCTTACATAATTTCATATGATATCTCATACGATTTGTGGTTAATTGACCATATATAACAAGCACTCACCATTTTCCTCTGATGGTGGGGTGTAGTAACTCCGTATTGCAATAAACTCCAGACTTTTGTTGATCTTCATTGTGTTCAAGATTGGAGCCCAGTCATTCACTCTGATTAAAAATTATAAACATCATTTAGATCACAATTAACTTTGTTATTTCATTGCTGCAATTTAATCTGCAAAACTACATGACTATATGTGCATTATATTTTTGTTTTCAAAACATCAATTTTTTAAAGAAAATATTACAAGTAAAAACTTGGTTTACAATTCTTTTTACTAGGCAGAGTAGCGGAACTTAATATTATTTTCATGATAATAAAATAATACTTAACCTATCTATGAAGTGTGGATTATTTCAAAGTTAACATACACAACACCACCTTTTTTTCTATCTCTAAACAGTGACATTTCAAAACTCAAAGTTGCCATGGTACTATTGTACTTGCTCTTTTAATAGATAACTTTAACAAAACATGACCTATTTGTACTCACCTGACCCTGTCTCCATTAATGTCAAGGACACCTTGTGCCAGGTGAGCCTTAACAGCAGGAAGGGGGCAGGAGTCCTGCATGGCACACAGGTTGTCATAGTGACTCTCAAAGTCGTATGCCCCCCGCTGTCGAATCTGTACACTCTCAATCACCATGGTGGAACTAAACTGGACCTTTGCTCCTTATATACCTGAAAATATTGGACATATACAATTTAGGTATGATTTTTGAAGGCCTACGTTATCCATACATAATTTTTAGCATTTATGAATGTTCTGCATCTAATGAATTCAAATTCAGGTTCCAAAATAGTAAACATAAACAATCAAAAAAAAAAATGAAAATCACTTTTTGATAATTATGTAATACATCTTTAATATATGAAGATAGAACATCCTGTACCAAAACGATATAGTCTTACAGATTCGTTAAATGATATTTATTCTGTGTGTTGGCAATGTAGTAAATATTGAGCAAGGGTAGACAACTTTGGTGTATGCGACTTAAAGGTTTTTAATGTCAAAATTGCATGAATACTGGAAGCAATTAAAAAAAGTTGAGAAAATGTGGAGATTTTTTTGTTGCCTGCAGAGCAGAGTAACACTTAGAAATCATTGTATGTCTGTCCATCCATCTGTCACACCCTATATATCCAGAACTGGAAGAGGTATGGATTTGATTTTTAAGACTTTTGACCTACTCTTCATAATAGTTTGTTGTGACAATATATAGCACATTTTTGACATTTTTAAAGAGGTAAGTCTACGCCAGTCTTCACGAAAACTTTTCAAACTAACTGGCCAGTCGGACCAGTGAACTTAGTTACAAAATTTACTGGCCCACCAAAATTTTTACTGGCCCCTTAATTAAAAAGTAAAATGAATACATTTTCATAACTGTAAATTTATACACGTTTACGTACTTCAACTTTTGAAATGCCGCCATTTTTCGTCCTTTGTCGCGTTTCGGTAAGTTGTTCGTTGGAAATTCGCACATTTTACGTACTAGTTAATAGTTACTAGCTAGTTGCAGTTGTTACGTAATACATCCATGTTAAAATAGGGTTATAATAGTACGATTCAACAACACGTGCTTGTTCTTTTTATTTTATATATTAATGAAATTTACGCAAATAAGTCAGTTAAAATCAATTTTGACTGTGTATGATTTTTATAATCAACAAGCCCATCGGACTTCTTGAATTTTGATTTTCACTGACCCGACATCAAAATTCACTGGCCTCGGTCTTTGGACCAGTGAGTTTTCGTGAGGACTGCTACGCTATAAATACTATGTGCATTGTTTGCCATATAAACATTAGGAAAAATACCACGGTCCACTTTGCACAAATTTTTAGGGAAGGGGCATGCAAAATTGAAAAAATCACTATGATAGCTACCAGTAAAGTATATCAATAACTATTCTCAAAAAAGTATTCCCCCTTTTCTAAAATGCTAGTAGCAGACAAGATATGTTCCTTAATTGGAACACGCTTAGCATTTTTCATATTGATTTTTTGGAGGAGGGAAAACTTGTAGGCATATAAAACTAAAGAAGGCTAGGTTTAATTTTGAATTATTTTCAATGCTTCTCCTACTGTATCCTCTAAAGTTGTGTTGCAGTGAATCCACTTCATTTTACTACATGGCAACTTTACATTACAAGATGTATTTTTTTGTTGAGAGCTTGTCCAAGGGCATTGGTGAGATTCTATGTAACTTGTAAGTAATGTATTTATTTTTGTATTTTTTACAGTCTGCAGCTAGCAGGTCCAGCACAATCTCTTGATTACGCTATATAGCTTTAAAAAGCTATATAGCTTTATTAAGCTATTCAGAATAGCTTGATAAAGCTATTTATATGCAGTTTTTCACAAATCCTTTTTTTGAAAGAAATAAACAAAAAGTCGCAAGTATTTGACTATTCATATATGTATTATGGACTACCAAAAATACAACCTAAATCATAGAAAATTCTTACATTGCTGCTGTTGAATACTTTAAGCAAAATAAAAATTTCCATTGTTTGAGTAACTGTGTGTTCGGTGAAGCATGGGTAAGTATGATTGCTTCTCATTGTGCTGAACTGTTACTAATCAATTATCCTGTTGGCCACAACTGGCTTCTTTTATACTTTCATTCAAGAAATAACTGTATTGTCACTCATCAATAGCCCCAAAACTTTTAAATCTTTGAGTGCAAAGTCTCTTAAGGAGACGCAATTTGGTGAGTAATTTTTACATGCATTGTATTCAGAAGAAAACAAAGTTTAATATTTCCACTGCACTTAGGTGCGACTTTTTGCACATGTTGAAAAAATAACACATTTGAGAAAAAAGTCTGAGAAAATAGCTTAATCAAGCTATTCTGAATAGCTTAATAAAGCTTTATAGCTAAATCAAGCTATATAGCTTAATCAAGACATTGTGCCCGACCTGGCTAGTTTTATGCTACATCTATAACCCCTATCAGATGCTTTTTCCCCCCATCTAATTATAAAGTCTTTTACATATATATCCAAGTAATCTTCGAGGAAGAAACAAGTGGTTTACAATAAAGAGTTAAGTTATTCAGGAAAACACAGATCTCGATTTACACTGACAATATCCTGACATAAAATCATGTCTGAGCTCGTTGGAAAAAATTATCAGGTGAAATATTTTGTGACTGATGAATGCTAAGTGGAGACTTGCAAACTTTACACTTATTTACACAAATATTTTCCTTTGAAAGAGTTTGTCAATCTTGCAAAACCTTCGTATGATAAAGCATACCAAGTTACATGATTTCCATTCAAACTCCTTCTGTTCGGCCGCCTTTTGTTTACAACCGGAAGTGAAAGAAATTCTAAAACCTAGAGCAAAACTGAGAATGTTCCGTGAACAAAAAAATTAGATTGTTGATTTGTTTGTTTCTTTGCAAATAACTTGTATTATTCTATCCTCGGTAATAAAAAAAAAGATAATAAAAAAATCGGTACAATACGCTCTTTTTAAAGAATATCATTCTTTTTGTACAAAAAAAAAATGCTTTGTAAAAATGATAATGATTTTAAGGACAGATGATACATACAAAAAATGGATGTCTGGATTGGTATATATTTTTTTACCTAATTTCATTGAAAATGATGCAAATAATAAATTTCTAGAATATAAAGAATTTGTAAACCTTCTGTGATGTTCAAAATTCTGCCTCTCTGAAACCATCCTTATTAGTCTATACAAATATTTTCCCATTAGAATATCATTTTAAAGAATTAAAAACTTCGCGGTGAAAGATATTCATTTTACTCATTAACACATGAATCGGGTTGTTAATTTTAAATTTTTTGACAAAAGTTTGTTTGTATCATCTGTCCTTAAAAAGTGCTAGGCCTAATATTTCAGTAACTTTCTATTTTTACATAGGGACAAACTCACACAATATGATTAAACTTCATATAACTCTAAGAGGCAGAAGTATATATCCCTGTTCTTGTCCCCCGCTTTAGCAAAAGCGAGGGGACATTAATTTTAATATCATCAATTTGTCCGTCTGTCAGTTTGTCCGTCGGTCACGAAAACTTTAACATTTACAAGTGTGTGTTGCCTTTTGAATGAAAAGAAATCAAGGCATTCATATTTCATATGTACATTACCCGTCACAAACCTTTCCAAATAGTATACGATGATATTTGACCCCGTGACATTGACTTTGAAGTTTGACCTACTTTTTGAAAAATGTTATCTTGCTTTGTAACCAGGGACATATATGCCTATACTAATATTAGGATATAGGTCCCTGTTATAACTTTTGATTGAGAGATGGAGATCTAGACCCCTTGACTTCATATTTGACCTAATTTTTAAAAAAAGAAATAACTTTTGGTATATATTTATTTTTGAAAGACATATGTTAGGGCATTCGTATTTGGTTAACACAATATGCCATAAATAATGTCATCTCCAAAAGCGGGGGACAACAATTCTTTGAATTAGCTTGTTTTTAATTGCAATCTTGGTGATTTTTTTTCTAGATATGCAGGCGCGTAGCCAGGCGTACGTTTGTACGCACAAACGTCCACATCATTTTCCAAAACAAACAAAAAACAAAAAAACAAAAAAAAAAACAAAAAAAAGGAAAAAAAAAAAAGAAAGAAAGAGAGGAGAGCAAGTCAGGCGTAATATTGTAAAGCGTACTCATCATTTTTTCAAAATATTAGTAAATAATTTCAAAAATAAAAAAAGAAACAATTTAGAATTAACGATAAAAAAACAAATGAAAATCAGCAGAATCAGTTTTAGGGGGAAATACGATATTATACACCTCACTGAAATCAAAAGATATTCCCGGATTTTGGTTAACTAGCGAATATTGCTGATTTTTTTTTTTCTCAGGTGTATAATTACATTCTTGAAGAGTTTCTCTATTGTAGATGTCACACAATAAAACCCCAGTCGGTTCCCTTAAAACAAACAATAATTTTATTTAATGCCAAAAATTTCAATTTCTATAAATGGAAATTAACTTCCAACCGCAATGCTTAACTTCTGTAACGATACACCCCCCCCCCCATTTTAATATAATATCGGATTCATGCGAGAATTCAAAAATCATAATTCGGCATTATAAATGAACATAAAAAATCGAAAAAAATAAATATTGACATCAGTAACACTACCAGTAGTATATTTTAGGCCTACATGTTTTTTTTTTATATTTAATTGTCGCAAAAAGTTTAAGATACCAGATTTGTGAATACCGGTATTTAATTTAAAATGTATAAAATGTACATAGGTAATATGCAAGAAAATGCGTCGAAAAGAATTCTTCTGTCTTTGTTATTTTGAATCTTTAGAGATGTATTTTTAATATGAATGTAAGCCTGATTATCAGTCAATTAAGTCTGTCTAAACCAGTCAACCAATCTAACCGACTACTGTATGGTACCATACGTATTTTGTCGAGCTTCAAAAGTCTAAAATTATTTTAGTGGGTTAACTTTTGGACAGATCTTTTCTAATTGACTGTTCGCATTTTTTTTTTACAAGGAAAGAACAGACCTTAAATGTGGCTGCGTAACAAACTGAAAAAGTGAGAAGGGCTAAACATGCACATCGAAATTGTGAAAAATTCACCAGCTTCCGGGGGCGTAGCCCCCCGGGCCCCCACCAGGGCTTTGTCCTGGACACATTGGAGGCCTTAAGGCGGCCCCAATCCCCCAGCCTATCCAGGCGTCCACATCAAATGTACCCTGGCTACGCCCCTGATATGCGTATATATATACATGTAAATATGATCAACAATTCATCGCCAGCCAACAACTTTCTAACGTATCAAAAATTTTAAAATAGAAAGCTTTTCAAACGATTCAGGATTTGACTTAAATTTTATACGTCTTCCATTTAAAAAAGTGCTTGAAAATGAAAGGAAAGATGGATAAAAAAAAATTCCAGTGGTCAACTGGACTTGGACCCTAGCCAATTCTTGTCATTTTCTCTTCAAATAATTTACAAACATGTTTTCGTTGTGTCCCAATTGAATTTCCTCGGAAGCCCAATATAAACCTGGATAAAAATCTTCACTTCTTGTAAATAGTCTTAAAATTATTTGATAATTTCAAGGTCAGTGTCAAGGTCACTTGCTAAAATTATAAGGTAAAAATATTTTGAACGAGTGACGCTGATTAATATCATGCGTTGCTTGTGACAAATTGATCCACTGTAATATGATGGAAGGTACTAATTTTTGACCCTGTGTGTCCTTGAAAACTACATCGTAAATGTAAAGTTAACACAGGCAGACTAAGCGACATAGCCAATTCAGTGATCGATTTTGCATCCAACAGACCTTTCCCTCCAAAATACACGCTAATGTACACTAATATCTGCGTCAATTTCAACCAAATATTATATTAAAAAAAACAACAACAACAAAAATTCATGCACAAAATTTGAGAAAAATCACACTTTATTTGTTACAAGAGTAAGTACTTCATACAGATATGAAATTTATGGACTGTCTGTCTTCACTTTTTCTTCCCCGTGAACGTGACCTCGGGACAGAGTTTGGATCGGTCACTCTTCAGCACTGCCACCGCCTTACACCCGTCCTTTACCACCTCACAGTCCGGGGACAGGTCGCTAAAAGTCACCGCATTCCTGGAAAAGCATCACACGATTAATATGACTGGGGTGTTTCAACTTAACACGGATAAAAAAAAAAAAAAAATTACTTTTATGCAGACCTCATCAGTCTGTCTAGCTGTATGTCCGTTTGAATGTTTTTCTAGTTTTCCGTCCGTGTGTAGTCTTGCTTCAAGTTTGTCCGTTTGTATGTCTGTCTAGCAGAAAAGTTGTCCGATTGTATGTCTGTCCGTCTTTATATTTCTCTACCTGTATGTAAGTCTATCTGCAGTGTTCTACACAGTGTATATCTGTCTGGACAGCTATCTGTGTTATCAAAGAGAGAGCGAGAGAGAGAGAGGGGGGGGGGTTAGATCTAGAGAATATCATTAATTCAATTAAGTTTCTCAAATTGAAGTTGCAATTTGTATTCGAATTTAAAATGTTGTGTGGTTTTTCTTTTCTTGGGGAGGGGGTCTACTTACGCGCAGCAGGAGAGGAAGCCCCCTCCCAGACAGGTACACTCGTCACAGGTGACAGGGTCCTCAAAGTACTCCCCCGGCTCCAGCTCCTTACCGTCGTTATAACAACCTTTACAAAAAAAAGGAAAAAAGAAATCAGTATTTTGCGAAGTATAGCGAATTGAAGATCGTCATTTTATAAACTTTATACAATTTTATCTGAAGAAATGAAAGGATGGAAATAAGACAGAGTGGTCGATATCAAGATTTCTATAAACGGCGTGTAAATCATAAACACGGATCCCTAGAAATCAACTTCCAGAGACACATAAGGGTTCAGGTGCCTAGCGGAAGTACGCATCCCCTGTCAAGCGGTCCAATCCGCCGTGAGCCCTGTTTATTGATATGGTAGACGGATAATTTTGTATAAAGACAAAGGTTTAACAATTGGTATGAAAAAAATGAAATTTTTGCACCGGCACTTGTTTCGGAAATAATTTTTTAACCCATAGTGCCTGTGAATTTTTGTTACTATCTGGGGTGGGTCCTGATGTCGGTTTCCTTATGAAAATAATAGTTGTGAGAAAGTACACGTATTACATACATTCAACTACAATGACAATTGGCAATATACCCGGTTGACCTTCATGCATCCAAAAGGTTAAAGCAAATTAATGATGATGATCAGTTAATTAACCTTACCCCAGTTTTCGTTTGTTTTTCGGACGGTGCGGCATTGGCTTGAGACTAACTGAAGAAATCCACAACAAAATATCACAACGAAAACTCCCCTCATCTTGGTGGCATTCGAATGGCTTTACTTGTGAACTCGTACTACTAGATCATTAATAAGTGTCTGTAGTTTAATTATATGCCTCATTATGATGTATGGTTATCCCAGATGGTGGTATAATTACTCATGCCAATGTGTGTGGGTTACTTCTTTGAAGTACGTTGTTAGTATTTCGATAATCGTTCTCTGACGTGATGCAGTATATACCACAAAGTTCTACTTACTTCAAATAGTCCGAAATATCTGACGTTTTCCGGGCTTTTTGCAATTTTGATATTTTACGTGCCAGGAAAAACAACGTAAAGTATTAAAATCATACAATAGTCCGGAAACCGTCAGATATTTAGGACAAGTTTTCAAAACGATATCTTGACACGACTTATAATTGGATGTCTTAGTATATTAAAAAAAACACGGTATCTTGTATCAAAAGGAATGTTATATGGGGACATGCGGGGTTCTGAGCAGCAGCTATAGATTCCTCTGTTGATTTAGTTCGTAGTTTTATCTGTTGCATCATTACACGGATAAATATATCAATCTTGATGTAAAGAATTTCCCTCAGGGAGTATTCACTTTATATAAAATACCTCGTTTATCTCAATATCGACATAGTAATAAGTAATTAACTGTTAAGAATTCTGTGATGATATAATCAATATTAAAATACTTCTTTTTTTGTCATTCTGATTACGATTTTTTTATTCAAAAATGAAAGAAGAAACATCTTCAATAAAATTGTATTTTACTTCAAAGATACCGTTTTCAAAAGATACAGATCTTCAAAAAAAATGAATTTATGGCAAATCTAAGTTAAAACAATTATGGGTAAAGGGAATCAAGATCAATATTTCAGTAGGAAAATATAATTTCATATCACATGCTTGTGATATTAATGAGTTTGCACTTGGTTCCATATGAGAAATCGGGACGTACTGACTGTACCCATAGGCGTACCCAGAGGTAGGGGGTCCGGCGTGAAGAGAGAGAGAGAGAGAGAGAGAGAGAGAGAGAGAGAGAGAGTTTGGGGGAAAAATTGGAACTAGGAATATGCTATCGTAGTCAAGAAATACTACTAGATTTCAACTCATCGTACAAGGCGTTGATGTCCAAATATTTTTCCAAATCGCCGCTTGTCTCAACTGAAAGAATTTTGAGATGACCCCAGTCACGATTTCTCTTTAGTATTTCATTTCTTTTATTACCAGAATTTGTCAATAATATCATATACTAAACACGAAGCATTGAAAAGGAGGGAGAATGACGGAGAATTCTCAAGAACAAGGTGTGGGATGGGGTTTTGTTCGGTTCTCCCCCCTCCCCTTTTTTTTTTAAAATAGAGATGTGCCTGTCCGCCTCTTTTGGAAACCAATGTAGACTAGGCGTTTAATTAAGACTATGCATGGCTATGATACAACTAAGTTGTTCACACAATTCATTTACCACTGTCAGTAACCTTTAACTGAGTAACTGTGTACGTCCCCGCCACTGCTATGTCTGTGATCCGCCCATCGCCTTTCACATAAAAATAATGATTAGTGAATTAGGGGAATGTTTTTATCTGATTTTGCTGTAATTTTATAGATTATTTTATTAAAATATAATGTTTACACATGGGACAAATATAACAAAACAAATATTTTGGACATTTTTATATATTTTTAATTCACCAATCAGATTCGTGTTTTTCTTCACTTCCGATTAGTCAGTCAAAATGGAGAGCACAGGAAATTGATTTTCGCAAACAAAAACAAAATATATTCCACCTAAATAACAGCAAACGGTAGGTTTATACTTAGCTGTTAGGCCATTTAAAACTTATTTTCTCACATATTTGTTGAGAGAGGTAAGAAATTGAGACGAAATCATCGTAAAAATCTACACAAAATTTTGTTTTATTTGGGGGCAAAAACAGTGTGTCATCAAGGAAGATTAAAATATTCCACGATTCTTCTCTGTCACTTAGCTTACAGTAATGTCTGCGTTTGTCTGATTGAAATCTGGGGAAGGATTTAGATCTGCAGTTTTAATAACTACATGACTGCTTTATATATATTGTTAAGTTATGTCGATACTGAAGTAAACAGGAGAGAGAACAAAGGAGCATGCCTTTGTGAAACCAATTTTTTTTTGACACATACAATTAGTCTACCATAATTTAAAAACCTATAGAACTGATTGATTTTCCATAGACATAGAGTAACAACAAAATAACACATTTTTAAAAATATACTTTCTTACTGTGTATATCAGGTCCAGCACAATCTCTTGATTAAGCTATATAGCTTTATAAAGCTATTCAAAATAGCTTGATAAAGCTATTTATATGCCGTTTTTCCCAAAAACGTTTTTTTTAAAAGAAATAAACAAAAAGTCGCAAGTATTTGACTATTCATATATGCACTGTGGACTATCAAAAATACAACCTAAATCATAGAAAGTTCTTACATTGCTGCTGTTGAATACTTTAAGCAAAATGTGAATTTCCATTGTTTGAGTAACTGTGTGTGCGGTGAGGCGTGGGTAACAGAGTTTTTGAAATAAAAAAAATTTTACTGGTCAAGTGGACCAGTGCTTTAGTGAAATTCACCGGTCCACACAAATATTCACTGGTCCATCAACAAACACATATTCAAAATAATAAAAAAAATTTTTAATTCCAGTTAGGCTTTAAAAAAATCGAAGGGTCAAATATCCCCGGACTGAATTAACCAGGTGTGATATTTTTGTAGACACCCAACATGGCTGCCTACCGCAGAAAACGAAGTTCAAAATGTGGGGGAAATGTTTAATGTAACAAAAATGATTAATATTTTAAAACTCTTTATATTCAAGGTAAATGATATGATTAGCAATTCCGTTGACATATGTTGCACCCCAAATAAAGCTACAATTAACATTTCTGTACAAATTGAATCAGCTGATTGATAAATCATGACTAACTGTCGTATTAAAGCCCTTGAGTTTATTCTTTCATACCCTTAAGACAATCTCACATAACTAAAATTCAGAGGTTAATAGGTTAAAATTCCGGAAAGATCCAATTTTTTTTACCGGTCCCTAGGACCGATTACATGAAGAAAATTACCGGACTTTTGAAATATTTACCAGTTTTGCCGGTGGGACCGGTGGATTTCAAAAACTCTGGGGTAAGTATGATTGCTTCTCATTGTGCTGAACTGTTACTAATCAATTATCCCGTTGGCCATAACTGGCCTCCTTTATAATTTCATTCAAGAAATAACTGTGTGGTCACTCATCAATAGCCCCAAAACTTTTAAAACTTTGAGTACAAAGTCTCTCAAGGAGACGCAATTTGGTGAGTGATTTTTAAATGCATTGTATTCAGAAGAGAACAAAGTTTAATATTTCCACTGCACCTAGGTGCGACTTTTTGCACATATTGAAAAAATAACACATTTGAGAAAAAAGTCTGAGAAAATAGCTTAATCAAGCTATTCTGAATAGCTAAATAAAGCTATATAGCTAAATCAAGCTATGTAGCTTAATCAAGAGATTGTGCTGGACCTGTATATGGTATATACAGATTTTTTATAATACATTGCTATTCTTGGATTTCCTTCAATAGGCAATTTTTTTTTTTTTAGCAGAACCGTCTATAAACCAACAAATCAAAAAATGACATTACTTCTTATTTCTCATCAGCTTATCCCAAGAACATAACCAGATAATCATGCTTGACCACAGTTTAATTTCATTACTATTTTTTGTAATACATTGCTATTCTTGGATTTCCTTCAGTATGCAATTTTTTTTTTAGCAGAACCGTCTATAAACCATCAAATCAAAAAATGACATTACTTCTTATTTCTCATCAGCTTATCCTATGGACATAAACCAGATAATCATGATTGACCACAGTTTAATTTCATTATGATTCTCACTGAATTAAGAATTCAACGGACTTGACTCAAAAGACAAATCAGTTATCGTAATGCAATATTCATCTTGCCATAGACTAGACATATTTTCTTTTTGTCTGATGACTTATCATAATATGTCACATAATGAGAGTAAAAGGACACCTCTATTACTAAGTAGAAATAAGCTTTATTTGACATTGAATACTCTAACTGTGGCAAAGACATAAGCTACCAAACACACCTTAGTAAGATTTTATGAACAAATGTAAACCATACATCATTGTACATATAGTGAAAGAGGGCGTGGGATGGACCCTTTAGGCCAAGCTTAAAAAATTCTTTGTTTGCAGTTGCCGACCTATAATTTTTAGACTGGGTCGGTAGGTAGGCATTCTTTTTTTTTTTTTTTTTAGAAAAAAAAATCAGATTTTTGTTAGATAACAATTAAAAGAGGTTTTCATACACCTACTAGACATGAATAAGCTCACCTCTTGTTATAAACTTCTGAATGATAAAAAAGTGTCAAAATTTGAGAACGAAACTGTTTCAATATTCTGAAAAATTAAAAAAAAAATCAAATTTCCAAATGGCTAAAAAAAAGTTTGGGTCGGGTGCATTTTCAGTGGGTCGGTCGGCAACTGCAAACAAACTTAATTTTATTTTAGGCCTTACTTGACAGTGCACTATCATATAATTAAGATTTTGTTGGAAATAAAATTTCACTTATCATTTTAATTGGATTTATTAGGGCTGTCACGGTTAACCGAAAACTCGGTTAACCGCTCCGAAATGGCATTCGGTTCGGTTCGAGTCAGGTTTTCCGGAATTCGGTTCGTTTTTTTTTATCTTTTATATAATACTAATTTGCTTGCAATACGCGTTGTGATTGGTTGTTTATTTCAATGAAGGGTTCTTTAACCAATGAAAATACAGGTAACATCGAAGACATTTAAACATGGCATACACATGTGGAAGGAAGTGTGGGAATACTTCACGTTTTGAATGTTTCAATTGTTTGAAACAGGATAACTGTAGTCAATAACTATATTTATTTTATTTTAAACGAGAAGTTTATTACTTTGTTTTTTTTTGTTACATTTAACAACTTGTTCTGTTGAATAAAATGGATAGAAATTTGTGTCAGCAAAATAGTACTTTCTACAATGTCCTTAATCCTTATTATCCTTTGATATAAATAAAGATGTTTTATTATGAAAACCGAACCGAAAAAACCGAAAACCGAGAATTTATTTTCTGAACCGAACCGAACCGAAAAATGTCTGAACCGTGGCAGCCCTAGGATTTATTAACAAAATTTTAACCCCAATTAACTTAAATGCAATTTTTACCCAGGTTTATACCAAGTGTTTTAAAAAAGAATTACAAAACTAAGCTACAAGATCATTTTAGATCACAAAGCCACAATGTATGTTGGAAAAATTGTTCCAGCGGTTCTGGAGAAGACAAGAAAATTGTGAAAAATTTTCTGTCTAAAGAAATGTTTTGTTTGTAACTCAGGGTTTAAAATGAAAGAAGCTGCTTGAACATTGGTCAAATTGATTTTCTTTGTGTTACAGGTGTCATGGAGCCTGCTGTTTTGTCCCCTGAACCTCCTCCATCCACATCCTGGGCCCCGGACAATCCGTTCACACAGCTCAAGTCAGAGGTAACTCACATCTACCAGGGAAATTATTACACATGTGTCAATGTTTCATTACCTTGTACAGGATTGTGTGCAATTTTACAGTTGATAGAAACTTTCTCTTAAAAATACATATCGCAAAGAATAGCAAGTACCAAAAGAGTGAATTTGAAAGACTAAATGCAAATTTGACAAATGAAAGCATAGATGATATATGCCAAAAATGGTTGAAATTGGTTCAGTGGTTTCAGAGAAGAAGATGAAATTGATTAAAAGTTAATGCACAATGGATGACGCACAAGGACAGATAGCAATAGGTCACCTGAGTATACTAACAAGTTGTGGATATTCTTACTTGCGTATTTTGAGTTGTATAGATTGAATTTCAAACCTTGATGATATTTATGTTGTATTTTTAACAGAGTGAAGGAAGTAAGCCGGGTTCTCCTCTCCTCGCGGACGAAGCCTCGCCTCTCCTTGTAGAAAATGGCCCCCTTTGTGGGCCCCTCCAGATACAGACAGAGGTACAAGCAGAGGTCATAGCTGAACAAACCATTGGTAAGTCTGGAGGGGGCTCATAATGATAATATATACAGACTTTAAATAATATACTGTAAAATCACATATTTTTCGTGGGGTCAAATTTTTCGAGGTTTGAGAATGAAATATTCGATTTTTAGGATTTGATTAAGTGGTTGGAGAAGTGTTGAGTAGTAATGCATATGAAATTTTACATTATCAAATTAAGTAGGGCTGGGTATTGGCCCGAGATTTCGTATTGCGATATATTGCGATATTTTAAAATGTATTGCGATATGTATTGCAATATTTTCAATGTAATATAAATGGCATTTTCTTACTACATTTACTTTAATTTACATGCAAAATGTACATAACTATGATAATTAACCAACACGAAAAAAAATCTTGTTGATTTCATTTAAGTTATGCTCTGAAATGTTCCCACAAAGCAACTTTTGACTCACTCTTTGGCTTAATATCAAAGTTTCATGTTTTTATATTTAATGACAAAAAATAAACATGGCATTGTATTGCAATATATTGAAATATCGATATTATTGCCCAGCCCTAAAATTAAGTTTGAAATATTTTTCATTTACCATATATGAATTATTATTGTGATTAGGCTTTTGTGCTATTTTCATCTGCACAATTATTGTTAAAAAATAAACATGGCAAGTCTAATCAGAAAATGTGATTTACACAAGCAGAATTGCATACATATTTACCAATTCTATTTAGTAATCACAAACAGAAGTAAGTACATATGTACCAAATTTATTTAGCTATCACTGAAGAAGAGGACAGCTGGAATGAGGACAGTGATGTTGTTTCCATGGAAACCATGTCATCTAATCCCACCCCTGTTCCAGGTATGAAGAGAGACTTTGATATTGCCTACATAAACATGATAAATTTATATATTGAATATCATGGATGGGTTCAAATGAATTGGAAATTTCTTTTTATGTTGTAAGTTTGCACTTCAAAATCATTAATTTTTGATCTCTATATATTCTTGCCGTCTGGGATTTGAGATAAGACTGTTTGATTAACTGTTGATCAAACTTTTCAAGTTCAAGTTCATTTATTCACTCAAAACCATTTCAAATATACATGGTACATGAGGACAATGAAAATTATTTACAGCATGTATAAAGGATGTATTCGCTTTAATAAAAGAATTGTCCTATAGGAGAGAACAATTTCCCGGAAAAAGTGACATTTAAAAATCAATCTTTATTTGTTGTTTTCTACCGTATATATGTCTAAATTTTTTTAATTTGTATTTTATACCTAAAATTTATTATTTACAACTTTACAAAACCTCCAAAGAAATTGATTTTTGCATGAATTTTGGCCTTGAAGAAGGGCAGGCCTGCCCCTAAATAAAATTGTGATATTTTGATAGGTTAGTATGTAAGGAAAAATTTAAGATAAGATTTTTTTAGGGGCACCCCTGCCCTGTAAATTCATACAAAAAAATAAGGAAACCAGATTTTCATAATCTGCTTTAAATTTATGCCAATCATTTATATAGTCAGACTAGCTCAGTTGATAAATGCGCTGACTTTTATTCTTTGGATGCTCTCTTTTTAAAGTCAGGGGTTCGAATCCACCTGGTACAACACTTATAAAGTTTTAAATTTCACCTTTTCAAAGACTATTTTAATTTTTTTATAGACTTGTATATTTTTCCTTCAATTTTCTATCCCTTATGCATGCACATTCTTGATATAAGAAACACTAAAGAGATATCAAATCGTAACAATTCAATGTACAGTTGTCAGTCAGGTGGAACGAACCTTAGTATATTAAAGCACAATTTCTCCGAGGACAAGAATAACTCACTGTGTGTTACAAAATAAGGGTGTTCTGTATTGAGCTGCGATGAATTGCAATTGTATGTATTCCTTAGAATTTAATCACATTGATTTTGGCTACATATTTCAATAAATGCACTCCCTTGGATTTCATTTAGGCCTTTATAATTTGCACACATTAATGACAAGTTTTTATTATATCCACGGATAAATAGCCTGGACATAAAGAATATAATTTCAGAGACAGTAGACATTACCTTTATGTACAATGAGAAGTAAAGACAAATGTCAATTATTACATTTGGAGATAACAAACTCAGAAAATCAATAAAAAGGGTTCCTCCTATCTCTGCTCACTGAAATAAAGATTTAGGAAAAACAAAGCTTTATATGTATTCAGCCTAATGTCATTAATCAGAACGGAAATCGACAAGCTTTTTGTAGAGAATAAAACCAAGCCCGGTCCTATAGGTCAGATCCCTATTTATAATGAAGTGATCCTTTAGGTCAGAGTTAAAAGTATATGATATACATAATCAGAAATGAAAAGGGAGAGAAAAAAAAAGAAAAAGGTAATGACACATGTAATATTGAAATAAATGAGGGGAAAAAATCACGGAGGACAGACTAAATCATATATTTTTAATATAAACTTACAGATTTTTTTTTTAATGTCTTAGCATCTTGTTTTGTCATCAGTTGAGAAAATTTAAGAATACCGGTATTTGGTCTAGTAAAGTAGTACTTGTTAATATACTTTTCCCTAATGTTTGACATTTTAAAATAAATGAATTATGTTACAACAAAGTGTATACTAATGTACCATAGAATGCATGTATCTGTATCAGCTGAACTTCAGTATCTTGAACAGTAATCTCGTATAGCATGGACGTGTAAAAGTGATTTAAAGTCCCAAGCACTTATTCTTTAAGTACCCTTGAAATCTCGAAGCATTTTCTTCAGTCCTATTGAGTTTGAGATATATGAGCTTTGACTGTATGTGTACATTACCTTGTGTCCTGATTGACAGATGGAGCTGTGGACCTGGCGGTGGACAGAAACATGACCGACAACTTCAGGTCCTACATGGATCACCTGTCTCACCTGTCACCTGATCAGGAAAGTAACGCGTCACCATGGCAGCGACCCAACAATGACCCAAACACGGTAGACATGTGTTCATCTTCAGATGAATCGTTAGATGGGAACCAGTCTACACAGGGCTCCAATGAAGGTCATTATTCTCAATATTGAATTTTTTTAGCATTATATTTGACAATTTTGGATTTTTTTTCTGATTTCAACAAAAAGTCTTCTATGTTGAAAGTTTTGAAGTTAAGAAAAGTCTATTGAAAATGCAGAGATTTTCAAACAAATTATGATATTTTTCACAGAGGCAGGAACTGACATGGTGACTACTGACAACAGCAGGAGACGAAGCTTCCTGAGGCAATCGTTTGGGTCCTGGGGAGACGAGACAAATCCTTATGATGTGTATAACCCCCACAACCCATATGCCCTGTTCAATCTCCCCACTCCAGCCACTCACCAGCAACCCACTACATTTAATGGCTTTGATTACCGGACACAGGTGCTGCCACCGCATGATAATGAGCGAGGGTTCAGGCGTGTTGGACGACATTCTTCACACACCTCAACCCACAGCTCAATTAGAGAGAGGTCTGCCCCCAGGGAGATCATCCCCCCAGTACCCACTGGGAGGGTATCCCCTGGGACGAGAGTCTGCTCCCCACCAGCCATAGTGAGGGTGGGATCACAGCCCCATGGGGACAAAATTGTGGTGGCTCCCCTTTCTGAGATGGAGACTGTGACTTTAGGAATTCCAAATACTTCATTCCCGAGACCGGAGACTTTGCCAGGAGCTGAGAGAGATGACCCCCGCGCTCGTCTAGAGGACAGAATGGAGATGAATCTTGAAGCTGGAGCTGATGAAAGGCAGACAGCGGTTGAACCAATGTCATGTAATTCTAGATTTTGTCCAGGATCCCAGCAGGCTAGCCATAAGTCTGCAGTAGGAGCTGGTAAACTTCGCCATCCCTGTCCAAACCACAGAGGTGGTCATCATTGGAGGAATCAGAGGCTAGGTGGACATTCCTGTGCCAGGGTCTCCCATTCTCACACACTGAATGGCAGAAGTTCCCCATTCTGTGACCATTCCCTTCCTACCAGCTCCACTTCCAGGGAAAACTCCACAAGTGCAATAATGAATGGACAAAATGTACTTCAGGCCGAGTCCAAACCTCAGAGGGAGCAGCTAATGGGGGCTACAGGAACGGTCAGTGTTCTGGAGCACAGGTCAGAGGGCGAGGGTCGGGAGGTCAGTGATTTACTGAGACCTGTTACGTATGAGGAGGAGACAGGTGCCCCCTTGGCAGGGTGTCGGGGGGTGAACGTCCTCCACAGTGACAGTGAGGGGGAGGAGCTGGGCAGTATTGACCTGACCCAGTCTGACCTAGAGGAGAGGGGCCCGGGAGAGGGAGCAGAGAGGAGGCACTCGCCAATCGCCCCCATCCTCCCTTTTGATACAGATGACCACAGCACGTCGTACCAGTCCGACGACAGCGACGTAGAGGTCATACGAGTGGACAACGGAGAAAGGTAGAAGATTTAAACATATTAATACACATTCTCAATTTATGATTGAGAGAGGCCAATGAACAGTGTTAATTTCTGTGTTATTTTTGTGTATTTTCAGGCTTGCTCGTACAATGCAGGAGTCGATAGGGAGAGCGACGGTTGTAGTAGATCTCACCGAGTCAGATGACGGTAGGTCAAAGGTCAAAGTTGTTCACACAGTTCCTCTGTTAAATAGAGGATATTCTCTAGGTTCTCAATTCAGTAGGAATACAGAAATTTGATTTTTTCTCTTTGATAGATAGATATGAAATTTTCTAGATTCTCATCTTTAATGCTGAGTAGTATTATATCTTCTAGATTCTCATCTTTAATGCTGAGTATTATTATCTCTGAGATTGTGATAATCTAAGATGCATAGATTCAGTAAAAAAAAATATTGAAAAAAGATGAAAAATACAGAATAGTATTTGCATTTTATGAAAGACTTTATAAGTGAAAAAAATCAGTTAATTAGATTTAGCTATTAAGAATACTTTGACTGTCTTTTGTTAAGTTTTCTTCAACCCTTACAGATGTTTATCAAATAAATTGTAGCTGGTTAATTATGTTAATTATTAAAGACATTGTCATAGATGATCTGTATTAGGTCCCAAAAATGAATGAATCATGTAAACTTAAGAGCCTTGAATATATTATCACATTGCAGGGGTATGCAATTAGAAAAATCAATAACTAGCCTACGGACTAGTGGCAGCTCTAAAATAACTAGTGCTAATTGTAACGGGGACCGTTACAGATGTTCCCCAAACGCTCCCCAACTCCCTTTTAGTGCCATATTCCCTGTTATCTCTATTAAATAAGAAATACTTTATGGAATTTAGACTTAATCAAGGTCTTCCAAGAAAAATACAAAATATATTAAAAAATAGGCATTGCACGCGTGTTCATGTGCGTAACGACCATATTATCTTGTCTACACTATCTAAAATTTTAATAATATCAAAGCATTTAATCCAAAAGTATTAAAAAATGCACTCATTCGAGTGTATTTTTTATTTTACTCATTTCACGTGCACGCACGTGCAAGCACGTGCATAATGACTACACCTTCTTGTAGGAGTCCCTTATATTTATCCAAGTTTTAAATCCCATCCTGTTTGGTTGAAAAACAAGAGAGTTATAGCCATTTGAAGTTTCAGCCCATCAGATTGCAGCACACGTGCATGCGCGTGATTTCATGAATATTTTCTATATCATATTTTAGGATATCGTAATGCATGACTATGTTTTAAATTTCAAAGCATTTCGTCAAAAAACAAAGGAGATATAGCCATTTAAAGTTTTAGCCAATCAGATTACAGCACGCGCGCATGCGCATGCTTTTATTAAAATTTTAATATATTATGCTGTAGATCTTTATAATGTAGGACCATGTTCAAAATTGCAAAAGATTATGACAAGAAACAAGAAAGATATTGAGACTTTAGTTTCAGCCAATCAGAGCAAAGCGCACGTGCATGCGCGTGAGATCTTGCTATTTTGACCATGCCATCTTGTCTGTACTACTAATGTATCCTTACATTATGAGTTACAAAGCATTTTATCAAAAAATAGAAAAGTTCCAACTATATCTATTATATTGGTTATTTCAAGTGTTGCACGTGCGCGCTCTTGCAAGCACGTGCGCGCAAAATGACCTTGATTCCGCAAATCTGCATAACATGTCTACTTACCCTAAAAAAGTTTTACCTACCTCGGACGAACAGTTTACAAGATCATTCCCGGACAAAAAAGTACCCAGGAAGAAGAAGAAAAATAATAATATTAAGAAGAAACAGAGTAAAAACAATATGTTCCCCAACTTCGTTTGGGGAACATAACTAGCCCCAAGTGAAAAGTTACTAGCCCAAATAGAGGGGCAAAAATGAAGATAAAAAACTATATGTTGAAAAGAAATTAATTGTTGAAAAAGTCAGGGTACTGAGGTCATTCTTTTTAAAATTTAAGTTTAATTCTCACTATAAAATTAAATCATGTATAAATTATAATGAAAGAAGATTAAAATGAATTTAAATAAATTATCTTCCCTTTTTCTGAACATTGCACTAGCTCATTTTAGAATGAAATTTAATTCATTTTGTTTTCATCTTAAATAATTAAATACACTATGAATATATTTTATGTGAGTCATAAAACACTTATCTTTCAGTTGATTGAGTGATCGTAAATAATTTAATGAGATATCTGCATGTATTTACCATAAACGAAAGAATAGAGGAAATTCGGATTAGGAAAAAAACGATCGTTTTTGGAAGTAAATAAGTCAGGTAGTGCAGCAAAACAGATAAGATTATGAAGATTTATTGAGAGTAGGAGCATGTTGTCAGAAAAATTTTCACTGGTTGTGAATTTGATAGCAAAAACGAGTGAAAATACAGGTTGTGCTTTTCATGTATTGCGTGTGTAGTTATAATTTTTACTAGCCCGACGGGCTACCTCCATGCAGAAAATCAATAGTCCGACCCCAAAAAGTGGTAGCCCCGGGCGTCGGGCGATGCTAATTGCACACCCCTGCATTGCAATAGCAGCAATTTTCTGTTGTTAGATGTTGTGACATTTCAGATATAATGGTAGACTAGTAAAAAACCAGTAAGTTAAACAAGGTAAAATCCACTTTATGTTTTAAATAACTTGTGATTTCAGACCAAGAAAATAGCCGATCCAACTTCACCTCTTTCAATGTGCCCCGTACATCCCAGCCCGCCCCTGTGGAAAATCGTCAACCTAGTGCTGCCGCCAGTTTTTCCTGTGCGTCTGGTAACTCTGAGTCTGGTGCTGGGGCCCCTGCCCCCCAGACCTCCATGTTCCAGCCCATTCCCCGGGGGTACAGACAACCCCCGCCAGCCCATGTCCATCCTAACTTTGGTATGCCCATGGCACCAATGTGTCGATCTCATGACCATGGACAGGCCTGCAGTGGGCATGGATGCAATCAGGTGAGTGAAGTGAAGGAGATTAAAAAAAGGTTTTGAAATATATTTTGTTTCAAACTTGATCATGATGAAAGAATCAACTTTTTTTTTTCGAGGGTTGGGTGGAGGGATATAAGGGATTTTGTAGCGTATGTACATCTGCTTCTACATGAACATGCCCTTTTATGCAATAAGACTTGTAAACACTGATTTTATTTACAGCATCCTCCAGCGCATATGCTTCCCTGTTCAGAACGTCTAGGCTGTGCGTTCCACGAGAATGGCCATCCCCACATGAATGTCAATCATCCTAGTCACATGTCAGGGCCACACCCAGGCCACACCCACATGGGGGCCAGTCACAGTAGCCATGGACACCCTTCCTCATTACCAGGACATCCGTCTCGTTCCCATGGTGGCATGCACCCCCACCACCATCTACAGCGGCATTCCCATGGGGCCCAAGGATCTTGTGGAGGTATAAATAGGAATTTCTGCTTAATCAAGGCTTCAGAATTAATGCTGATAAATGAGATTTTTGAACTAAGAAAATGTTTATTTTTTTATCCTGTACCAAATTTTAAATTTGTTTGTAAAATACAAATTCCTCTTATCGGCTAAACATTTGCAAAATTGTATTTCATTTGTTTGTCAGTACACTTCCTTGACTTGTCAACTAAAGTGAATGTTTTTCTGTTCCTAGCTAACTGTACCCACGGAATGGCACCTCATATGCACCACGCGGCTCCACCCCCCCAACCGCCGAGAGCCCACATACACCACCACCACTACCACCCCCCTCCAATCCTCCCCGCAGGGGTCATGCCCTTCCTGTTACCACAGCAACCCATGCCTGATATGTCAACTAGGAACATTGAAGGTCAGTATTCAAGTCCTCTTTCTCTCAGGTAAAGGAAAGAAAAGAAAAATGTGCTGGATATTTGTTTTCATGTTGCTTTTAAAAAATACCAGGTCAATTTAATTGTCTAATCCAACATATAGGGGGAGAAAAAAAATTAAAATTTATATGTTGTGTAAAATAAAATCAAAATATTTGGTTACTATAAATTACTATTACTGTAAAATCACTAATTTTCGTGGGGTTTAATTTTCGTGGTTTTCAAGGTATGAAGAGACCCACGAATTTAAATTCACAAAATGCAATTTTTTCTCATATATTACTACTGAACAATCCTTCAACCCAAAAATCAAATCCCAAAGAACCTATGAATTTTTCTCAAACCACGAAAATTTGACCCCTCGAAAATATGCGACTTGTACAGTATTATGACATCCTATTTTTCCAAGACGAGTATTTGGTATTGGCAAATAAAATTTTGAAAGCTGTGGTATTATGCAATACAGATATATGTGGGAATGAAATTCTTGCAAGCATTACACAAAAATAAAGTATAAAGTTAAAAAGATACAATTTTTCTGCACCTTTAGTGTATAGTACATATACATTACATGTATTTTATCCTACAGATGTACATGTTGTATAACTTTGTAGGAATGCCTTTGTTTCAACACAACTCCATCAGTTCTGCCAGCTGTTTACAGAATGGAGCCCCGCCCCCCATGATGAACTGGCCCCGATCTCAGCCCCAGATGACCCCGGGGCAGTGTGGGGCATCCTTCACCAGTCAGAGGGCCACACCTAACCCCCACCACCCTCCAGAAGCCATGAATACTTCTTGGTAAGCTTGACCTACATGTAAGCTCCCCTCCTCAAAGGTTTTTCTGTGTCTGTGGGTTTCCAATATTATGTTTTGCCTATATATGTCTGTATACATGAACACAAAATTAACAGTAAATAATTTTATTTTGTAAATGCAGTATAAAAACACGTAAAGTGAAAACTTATTAATTCACACCTTTGTATATCAATTAGTCAGGCATAATTACTGTCACTGACCCTAACGACAGCGGCCAGGGAGTACCTAAATATATATGTTATGACAACAACACATTATCACCTGAGGGGATTGATCAGTGGCTTCAATATAAGCGAAATTTCAATACAGCCGATAGCAATATAACTTTTATTTTCATGCAAAGAATATGAGAGGTAAAATGGGTTTATCTTTTTCAAAATAAGCGGAATTTCAAAACAAGCCATTTCAATATAAGTAACCAAATTACAGGCACGTAGCAACAGGGGGGGGGGGCTTGGCCCCCCACTTTTTTTCCCCAACATTACTATTGAAAATGTTCATTGAAAAGCTGGTTGCCCCCCCCCCCCCCCCCCCCCCCACCACCGCAACCGTATCAAAATTTAAAATACGGAAAATTTTTCAAGATCACAAGTGTAGTGTTTTACCATTAATTAGTAGATTGATAAATTGAAATAGTATTAATTTTTTTATTGTTTAAGTCTTATATTTATTTTAATGTAAAATGAGTGAAATAAATTGTTGCCAGTCAATTCCTAAAAATCGTTTTGAAAGATATTTTGAAGTTTTACAAGCAATTATGGAAATATATATGCGGATGATAAAAAATTAATTTTATTGATATGGAGTTTTACAAGCAAAGAATTAGTAATAAATGCAGGTTACAGAAATATGATTTAAGACAGAAATATAATTTTAACTGATATTATAAGGTTTATTAAAAGCTTCTTCGTACACAAGAAGTACACTGAATTACCGCTATACAAAGATTGGCTTCTAACGAATTTTAGTTGTCCGACAGATAAAAGGATTTACACTGTGTACACGCAAAGGTTTCAACACCTGTGTTGGTTTAATACCCGCAGGGCATGATTAGCAAATCCACATGCCGTTATAGGGTATTAATGTTACACATCATTGAACAAACAAAGCCATGAAATTCATAATGACTGTCAAATTGTGGATGTACCGGTACTCTCAATTAAATTTATAAATTAAACTTACAGCGTGGTAATATTATTTCAATTCTTTACTGTTGCTTTATATATACATTCAAAGGTCGTTTGCGGGTTTTAGCAAATCCCTGCAGAACAAAAATGAAAATGGCAGACATCGAAGCAATTGTCGTCCACCGGTAAATAACTAACTGAATAAACTATAATATTAGGAATGTGTCCAAGTTGTTCTGAAATCAGAATTATCATTCTTTGATCTCGGGTATTTCCCGAATTATAGCTTAAAATGAGAAACGTATTTTCGTGTTATTTTTGCCTCTGGTTTAACAACAGTATGAAACTACGGAGGCATTGAACAGGCAAGTTGGAGAAAAAAAAGTAGTAACACAATTCAAAGAAGTTCTACATTTTTTTAAAAACTTTTTTTAAATGCTGTACTCATTAAAATACCTGTTTGTTTTCTTGATACGTTCATGTCATGGAATTGCCACGGTAATTTTAGAGGTTTACCTGTTCTGATACGTTGTATCTGCGTAAGAATCTTTAGAAAACGGGAAACAAAGCCTCGTCCTATATAGTAAGTTCGTCCTATCTTAGGATTTTTCAAAAATTAAGGCTGAAAATGAGCCTTTCGACCTATATACCCCATCGACCTATAACCCGAAAATTACGGTACTAGTCCAAAGTTAAAAGTGACCAGTCCATATATATAGGGGCAAAAAATTGTAAAAACTAATTTTTAAAAGTTCATTGTTGAGAAAGTCAGGGTCCTAAGCCATTCCTTTTAAAGTTGAAGTTTAAAAATTTTAAGAAATTATCTTTTCTTTTCTGAACATATTGCACTAGTCTAGCTTATCTAAAATGAAGCAAAAATCATTTTACTTTCATTTCAAACCATTAAATACAATTGATATATATTAAAGTTTAACCACATAACGCTTAGCTATCAGTTGATTGGGGGATCGTATTAGACGTATATAATATTGAAAGAGATATCTGCATGTATTTACCATTAACAGAGGAATGGAGAAAATTCGGATTAGGAAAAAACGATCGTTTTTAGGTCACCTGAGTAAACTCAGGTGACCTATTGCTATCTGTTTTCGTCCGTCGTCGTCCGTCGTCCGTCGTGCGTTGTGCGTCGTGCGTCGTGCGTTAACATTTAAACATTTTCAGCTTCTTCTCTGAAACCACTGAACCAATTTCAACCAATTTTGGCATATAGCATCTATGGGTGAAGGGGAACAAAAATTGTGAATTTCGTGGTCCCTGCCCCCCTGGGGTCTGGGGGGTGGGGCAAAAACCACTAAAATTAGTGCAATCTTTAAAAATTTTCTTCTTTACTCCCAGACATCAAGCAGTCAAACTGTTGGTATGATTGTAATCAGCATTGAGTCCTCTACCAAAATTGTGAAATTCATGGCCCCAGGGTCAGGGGTTCTGGTGTTAGGGCGGGGCTCTATTGATTATATAGTGAAAATGCATTAATTCTTTGAAAATCTTCTTCTCTACTCCTGGGTATTAAATAAACTAATTAAGTTCATAGTTATGATGAGCAAGAGTGCCTCTACCAAAATTGTGAATTTTATGGCCCCAGGGTCAGGGGTTCTGGTGTTAGGGCGGGGCTCTATTGATTATATAGTGAAAATGCATTATTTCTTTGAAAATCTTCTTCTCTGTTCCTGAGTATTAAATAAACTAATTAAGTTCATAGTTATGATGAGCAAGAGTGCCCCTACCAAAATTGTGAATTTTATGGCCCCAGGGTCAGGGGTTCTGGTGTTAGGGCGGGGCTCTATTGATTATATAGTGAAAATGCATCAATTCTTTGAAAATCTTCTTCTCTGCTCCTGGGTATTAAATAAACTAATTAAGTTCATAGTTATGATGAGCAAGAGTGCCTCTACCAAAATTGTGAATTTTATGGCCCCAGGGTCAGGGGTTCTGGTGTTAGGGCGGGGCTCTATTGATTATATAGAGAAAATGAATTAAATCTTTGAAAATCTTCTTCTCTGTTCCTGAGTATTAAATAAACTAATTAAGTTCATAGTTATGATGAGCAAGAGTGCCTTTACCAAAATTGTGAAATTCATGGCCCCAGGGTCAGGGGTTCTGGTGTTAGGGCGGGGCTCAATTGATTATATAGTGAAAATGCATTAAATCTTTGAAAATCTTCTTCTCTGCTTCTGAGTATTGAATAATCTAATTAAGGACATAGTTATGATGAGCAAGAATGCTTCTACCATAAATTGTGAATTTTATGGCCCCAGGGTCAGGGGTTATGGTGTTAGGATGTGGCTCTATAATGATTATATGATGAAAATACATTACATCTATGAAAATCTTTTTCTCTACTCCTGGGTAATAAGCAGAATGAACTATTAACATAGTTATGATGGGATGGGCTCTATTTCCAGAATTGTGAATTTCAAGACCCCTGGGTCTGAGATACCAAAATGGGGAGGGGGGGGGGGGCTATACTTATATACTGAAAAAGAATTGTTTGAAATCTGCTCCTTGGTATTAATCAAACATTTTTGATAAGCAAGTGTGCCTTTTCAAAAATTGTGCAATGTATAGACCTAGGGTCAGGGGTTCATATGTGGTGGGAGCACTCCTGATTATTGCTGAATATTACTGATTAGTTGACATACTTTTTTGTTCCCCTACCCTGCTTATCCATATTAAGTAAACAAACTAAACAATTGCTAAGTGTATAATTATGATTAGCAATGGTGCCTCTTTCAGAATTGTGAATGCCATAGCATCTAGCTTAAAACATGAACCAAATTCAATCATTTGAAAGTTGTTGCATGATGCTCAGGTGACCTATAAGGCCCATGGGCCTCTTGTTTTAAGTAAATAGGTCAGATAGTACTGCAAAATGAATAAGATTAAAGTGATTTAAGAACATTAGGAGCATGCTGCCTAGAAAATTTTCATTAGTTGGAAATTAAATAGCAAAACAATGAGTGAAAATACCGTTTGTGTTTCTCATGTATTTAACCGTTATACATGCATAATTTTAATTTTTACTACCCCAAAAAACGGTAGCACTGGGCGTCGGGCTATGCTAGTTGCACACCCCTGCAACTGCCACACAATGGTAAGCAAATTGCAACGAACTCGTTGATGTAGAAATTGAACTCACTGGTTTTCTTTCTGTACTTTCAATTTCGATTTCAAAGATGAATGTAAAAGTTAAACTGACCGGCCAGTAACTTCCGGATTTTTACGACAAAAAAATGTTTGGGTCGGCGATTAAAATTAGGGTCGGTCGGGTAACCGTAAACAAACATATTTTTTTGTTACGCCTTAAAGTCAGAGTTAAAAAAAATTAGCTCCATGATAATGCAATAGTTGGATATGTGGGGATAGTAAATTAGTACCACAATAAGAGAGTGACACAGGGGTATTTCTTCTGCTGTCAGAACCAGATGAATAAGGTTCTTGCATAGATACGTGTACTGTCAAATCACTAATTTTCGTAGTGGTTTACTTTTCATTGTTTTCAAGGTATGATAAGGCCCACAATTTATGATTTATATCTACCACAAAATGTCAAATTTCTCATATATAGTTACACAACATTCCTTTATCCATGAAATCTATATCAAATCCCCTCAAACCCATATTTTTTCTTCAATCCTCGAAATTTTGACCCCACGAATATATGTGATTTTATAGTACTCTGTTTACATGATCATTTTTTGCAGTGGTCAAAGTCAGATAAACACAGGTCCTGACCAGATAAAGAGTGTAGATATTTCCTTGACACATTTTTTTTCACAGGGTCCATTACCAGACACAGATTATTATAGACATGTTGTTGACATGCTTTGTTTATTTTACAGTGGTGAACCAAAGGACCCCTGTCCATTATTATAGACATGTTGTTGACATGATATGTTTATTTTACAGTGGTCAAAACCAGATGACCCCCGTCCATTATTACAGATTATAGAGATGGTGTTGACATGCTTTGTTCATTTTACAGTGGTCAGAACCAGATGACCCCCGGTCCATTATTACAGATTATAGACATGTTGTTGACATGATATGTTTATTTTACAGTGGTCAGAACCAGATGACCCCCGGTCCATTATTACAGATTATAGACATGTTGTTGACATGCTTTGTTCATTTTACAGTGGTCAGAACCAGATGACCCCGGTCCATTATTACAGATTATAGACATGTTGTTGACATGCTTTGTTCATTTTACAGTGGTCAGAACTAGATGACCCCCAGTCCATTATTACAGATTATAGACATGTTGTTGACATGATATGTTTATTTTACAGTGGTCAGAACCAGATGACCCCCGGTCCATTATTACAGATTATAGACATGTTGTTGACAAGCTTTGTTCATTTTACAGTGGTCAGAACCAGATGACCCTGTTCCATTATTACAGATTATAGACATGTTCTTGACATGATTTGTTTATTTTACAGTGGTCAGAACCAGATGACCCCCGGTCCCCCATCAGGCCCCCCTCACCAGATGAATCCTCCTCATCAACATCTTCATCATCATCTTCATCACTATCATCACCCTCCCAGGATTCATCACTTCCCCATCGCTCCAGGGATGCCCTCGGACTTTGCTCCTATTGTAAGTACTTCTTGATGTCATACCTTCAGGTATTTCTTAATTATACTTTTCTCCTAATGCAAAGGTTTGGCCATTATTTACATATCATATGTGTGACTGGTTAGGAGGGGATTCTTACTCCTTTATGGCCCCTGATCCCATCTCTGATGTTTTAGCTATTATTTACACACTAAATGTATGACTGGTTGACTGGGGACAGTTACTCCTGTATAAAATATTGCACCTGATCCCATCTCTGATGTTTTAGCTATTATTTACACACTAAATGTATGACTGGTTGACTGGGGACAGTTACTCCTGTATAAAATATTGCACCTGATCCCATCTCTGATGTTTTAGCTATTATTTACACACTAAATGTATGACTGGTTGACAGGGATTCTAACTCCTTTGTGGCCCCTGATCCCATCTCTGATGTTTTAGCTATTATTTACACACTAAATGTATGACTGGTTGACAGGGGACAATTACTCCTGTATAAAATATTGCACCTGATCCCATCTCTGATGTTTTAGCTATTATTTACACACTAAATGTATGACTGGTTGTGGCAGTTACTCCTGTATAAAATATTGCACCTGATCCCATCTCTAATGTTTTAGCTATTATTTACACACTAAATGTATGACTGGTTGACTGGGGACAATTACTCCTGTATAAGATATTGCACCTGATCCCATCTCTGATGTTTTAGCTAGACCATCCTGAAAAAATTGTTTGTTTGGAATTGCCACCTGAAGGATTTCAGACACAGGAGGGAGGGAGGGAAATTATTTTTTTTTTAATTGAAAACCTAATTTTACATAGATCTGACAATATATTTCAGTGTTTTGTATGGTGCATGTGAAACATGTAATAGGCAAAAAAATTGATTAAATAAAAAAAAAATCTTCCTGATTTTGGTCAATAAAATTTTTTCAGGAGGGGGGTATTACAGTGAGGCGGGAGGCAATTCCAAACAAACTATAATTTTATTTTGGCCAGTATTATTTACACACTAAATGTATGACTGGTTGACAGGGGACAGTTACTCCTTTATAAAATATTGCACCTGATCCCATCTCTGATGTTTTAGCTATTATTTACACACTAAATGTATGACTGGTTGACAGGGGACAGTTACTCCTTTATAAAATATTGCACCTGATCCCACCTCTGAGGGTTTTTAAGAGGTGCGTGTTTTCTCGGCTCTCAAATTGGATTGTTTAAATGGTCACCAATGGTCACAGTTTCTTTCTGTGCTTGTTAAGAGAATCAATCTAATAAAAAATTGCATTATAAATCTATATAAACTAATACAGATAAAAGAATCAGAATTTTTTTTGCACCACATTTTGACCTGTGTTTACTCATTGTTTATTTTTAGCATCAGATTCCGCCCGTGCATCCCCACCCTCTCCCAGCGTTTACTTATCTGCCAAATATCAACCTCAACCGAAACTTCCAGCTGAGGATGGGACGCATGATGATGCCTCACAGACCCACCTATGAGGTATGAACACACAAAAAAATTCTGGGGTGGATTTTTCTTTTGGACTGGGGTGGACAACTCCTGAATCTGCTCCTACACATGTTCACAATATACATGTCCATATGCACTGCATGTGTATATACATTTTCATATACTCTACATACATGTAGACTTAATTTGTTAAGTGTACATATTCATAGACACTAAGGTAAAAGTTTGCTATAGACAAGGTTATAGCATTCCGTTTTGTAAGTGATAAGCTCATCTTTGTATATTATTTAACTTTCATGTCCTTTTCATTCATTTTATCAATTAAAATCTTCTACTGCTGCTCTGTTATAACAAATTTATCACACTTCACTTTGATTGGTCAGACAGAACACTTGACTTTGTCAGACCAAATGTCTGACAGTGATTTTAAAATTAATACAAGTCTGGTTATGGTATAAACCTTCATTGCAAAAGCTCAAAAGCCTCTTGGAATAACAATTATATTAAAGTTTTCAAAAACACATAGTATATGAATTAATGACCTTGACCTTTGTCCTTTGGACTTCAAAATAAATAGGGGTCTTCCTGAGGCCACATGGAGTTGCGATATAATTTTCACTGCAAATGCTCAAAGGTTGTTGAGATATCATACAGAAAGTATTAAAACAGACAGAAATTATTATTTGGTCTTTTTGAACTCAAATCAATAGTTGTCTTCTTTAGGCCATAGGTGTTGTTATGTAAAATTTCATTGCAAAAAGCTCAAACAATTCTCAAGATATCGCATAAAACCAAAAATGCAAACACACAGAAATACAGACAGACGGGGGAGAGAGAAACCCAAATTAAAATTGTCCACTTTCAGTGAAAGCGGGTATAAAAAACTTTTGGCAATGCCTGGGACACCAGTTTCATTTGATGAGACATTCTATGCCCTGTATTAATCAGAGATGCATGGAAGGTACTTATAATCTGATTCATTGTACTGTTTAGGGTTTCAGATGCAGAAATTTCAGAAAAAGAATTAGGTCTGCTAAAATGATATTTAAGTCACAGATTTTATAAAAAGAAAAGGTCTGATCAATGACTTCAAACTGAGGTCCTTTGGCGTACCATGCCAGTGCTCTAACCAATGAGCTAATGATACCAGATCCAATTAGTTACAGGATTTTAGCTGTAATGAAAAGTACTACACAATTTGTTTTTGTACAAGTGATAATTCATGTGAATGGTTCTGAGAGGTTATTGAGGACTGAAGACAGATGGCTACAAACAGTTCTATCTTACAGGAGCTGCTGAGTCTGGAGGAGAGGCTGGGTAATGTGAACAGAGGGGCCACTCAGGATATCATCGAGATGAACACGCTGCCGTACAAATACAAAAAGGTGAGTCACGGACCAATCAGGACCCGGGGGGCATCAAACCTAGAAAGGCTCACTTCTGGTCACAGGTTTCACTCTCCTACTTCCTTTAGTTTAAGTGAGACTGAGATCAAGAGTTAGCTGGTTTAAGGTTTATGGCTCCCAAGCCAATCCCAGGCCATAAAACTTAGATGAACTCAATTTTGATGTCAGCCTCACTTTCGGCTATATATTCCTGAGGTTAAAGAGAGACAGAGATCAAAATTGAGCTTGTCTAAGTTTCATGGTCTCAGAGCCAACTCTCTGATGGTTATGTATTAATTTAGTTTTTAAAAAATGATGCTGATGATACAATATAAAATAACTCCATAGAGGAAGCATGTTAAAGGCATTGATATTAAAAGCATTAATTATTTTCAATCATTGTGGCTGCCAACCTTTTACAATGGGAAATTATTACACGAGTCTAATTAAGTTTGAATAGTCATATTTTCTATGGAATTTCCATAATATTTGGTAACAACTTAAAAAAACCCCAAAACCTTTAAGTTATTTAGAAGATGTTTATCAAAAAAAGATGAGAATGCTGAAATTTGAGTTATATGAGTGATTTTTAGTCTTTTATATGTAGGATGCATTTGAGGACTCAAATATAATGTTTGTATGATTATTGCATTACTAAATAATTGTATTACTGAAAAAGGTCTTCAATCTTTTTTTGGCTCAATCTGCAAAAAAGAAATATAATGTTATGTTATGTTCAGGCCACAATTAAATATTTTTGGAATAATAGATTTTTTTCTCCCAAAAATTGGGGTCGTTAAAAAAAAAATTGATTTTCTCCCCTATTTGCCCCCCAAACCAAACTTTGGGCGAAATATTTAATTATGTTCTATGGGGCGATATATGCTGACTTCAACGCACTGAATATTTTCATAAGTAATAATTTCTTAAACAAAACTACAAACATGGGTATATTTATGTTTTTTAAATTCGGGGCAAAAAATGTACATATGTTCGTGATATTTTGGCAAAATAAGAGCGCATGTGTGTTCAGGCTCAATATTTTGATATAATGTGTAGAATGATAATATAAAATATGTTATTGTTCAGGCCACAAAATTTTAAAGCTAAAATTTTGGAATTTTAGATTTTTTTCTCTTTCTAAAAAGGATATAAAATCGGACTAGTTTGTGACATAAAAACAAAAATTGTGAATTGTGAACTACTTTGAAACAATAATATGTTCTGTTAATTTATATTTCTCATATAATTTATTGAAAAAAAAGTTTTCAAAATTTGACTTTTTATTAATATACCGCATATAGTTCTTTTTACTATTTTTTTTTTGTTCAGCTTTTGTAAAAAAAAAAAATTGCAATTGTTTATAACATTTATTTCTCAATGAATATAGTAATTACATTTAATTTTTGCATTCTCTCTGTTATTTCCTTTAATGAATCTGTACTCACTGGCTGCATTCACCGGGAATGCCAATGTTTCATCTTCCTTATCATTTCAAAAGAAAAGGTCATTAACACAATTTTATAATTGTATTGTCAGACTTGAGATGTAAGAGTTGTGAAGTCACTGAGTACTGTGTATCTAATCTCTGTGTCATAAGTTTCATTCGTAGATGACCACACTGCAGTACATCTCCTGTCTATATGTAGAGCAACCCCCCCCCATTTGTTTGACTAATAGAAATTTCAACTATTTATAAAATGCCCTACCAACAATTAATTCTCAACTACATGTTTAAAGCTGAAAAAGTTATTATTAAAATGGTTTGTTTTTAAAAACGTATTAAAAATTCAGGTTTAGATCCAAACTTTAAGGAGGCTTCACCTCTTTGAAGAAATGTTGAAAAAAAGGAAGACTTTTAATATACACCAATTATTGATGAATTAAACAGTCTGGACATTTTACATTTATGAAAATAAAGAAGGATTAGTGAAAATTAAATAGATTTTAATTACATGTAAATTTTCTGCTTTGAGCTGGTTACCAGATTTGAACAGGATCTAGAAAGGGAACACTAAATTGCATTGACTGATGATACAAAGGGACAAAAGAAATTATGTTATGTTATTTCTGAATTAGTGACAGAGCACTGAATAATTATTTGACTCTGATATGACTGGTTACCAATTAATTTGAACAGAGCTAGAAGATAACATAAATTGCAATGACTGAATGAATACAAAGAAGACAAAAGAAATTATGTTATGTTATTGTTATGAATTAATGAATAGAGCACTGAATAACCTTGATTTGACTGATATGACGTTGATTTGACTGACCTTGATATAACCTTAATTTGATCTTGATTTTACCTCAGTATAACCTTGATTTAACCCTTGTTGAGACCTTGATTTGACCTTGATATAACCTTAATTTGACCTTAATATGACCTTGATATGACCCTAATTTAAACTTGATTTGACCTTGATATTGTAGATGAAGAAGGATGGGGATGACGACCAACAGGAAGAGAAGTGTACAATTTGTCTGAGTGAGTTTGAGATGGAGGAAGATGTCAGGTAAATCACATCACACGTTATTTTTATCTTTTCTTATGCAATAAACTCTACTAAAGTTCAGAGATGTCAACATCTGTAGGATCAAAACAATATTGAAGCTTGATTGGATGAAAACTGGTATCATGACATAGAAAAGTGATTAATGTTGTAAATTTCTGTGCCAGTCTTCTTCATAAGTATGAATATAGTCAATTAAAGATGCATGATAACAAATGTCCATTGAATTGGTTTACCAGCATGCAAGTCATGCATTATACTCTCATAAATGTTTCCAAAGCAAAGCAGAGAATTTTTTTCAAGAAACTTGCATTACTTTATTTACAACATGTATCGGTGAAAAATATTAGAAATTTCAAAACATCTTACCTTTAACATGTTTAAAAGAGGTGTTTGAAACTTTGAATTAGACCACCAGACTGCTGAAAGAATAGCAGGCTTCCTGGGAGCTTTAAACTAATTTCAATATGAAGAAATGCAATAAAAATGACAATGGTTTCATTTTCAGAAGTTTAGTTTGAATACTTCCTGTTTATCCATGTGTCTGTCCATACCAAATTCACATAAGAGCAGAAGCATTACCAGTGAATATTGGCACACAGACATCTTGTTATTTTCAAATACATGATGTTCAAGCTTTATTTCATTAGCAAAATTTAAACTCCTTTATCAAAAAGAGTTGTAATTAGAAGCAGCTAATCATTTGACAGTGGTTTTAGAACTATTTATCAATTCCATATTTTATAACTCTCCTAAAGTAAGCAAAATTTCCATTTGTTAAATTATCAGTGTGTAAAGATGGTACAGTAAAACTCGTTTATTACGAACACGGATATTGCGAATTCACGGATATAATGAAGTTTTCTTTGATCCCCAGCTGTATAATTTTAATGAATTCCTTATATGGATATAACAAATTATGGATATAGCCAAATAATTTCACAGGTCCCAGTGACTTCGTTCTAACTGAGTTTTACTGTAGTGGTATTTAAAGGCTAGCATGCCTAGTTCTTGAACTGTTATGTTTGATTAGTGATACATATTGATAATTTTGTTTTCTGTTTTACAGACGCCTTCCATGTATGCATTTATTCCACATTCAGTGTGTAGATCAATGGCTGACAACAAACAAAAAATGTCCTATCTGTCGAGTGGACATAGAGGCGGGAAGCAAGGGACACATTGCACACGAGTGACAGTTATAAGTGACAGCTGAAGGGGTGTGACTTCTCAATGATTGACAGCTGAAGGTGTGGCTTATCAATGATTGACAGCTAAAGGATGTGACTTATCAATGATTGACAGCTGAAGGGTGTGACTTCTCAGTGATTGACAGCTAAAGGATGTGACTTCTCAATGATTGACAGCCAAAGGGCTGTGGCTTATCAATGATTGACAGCTGAAGGAATGAAGCTTAATGGCATTGAAGAGTGAAAAGGAGCCTGTTTTATCAACAAATTAAAAAAGAGCTTTTACACATTGCCAAAAGTGCAATGTGAGCTACTGGTGAAATGTAATGGAATTTTTTTAATGATTGTGGCTTAGAATAATTAGCAGAATGCAAAAAAGTCTAAAGAATTCTGAAAAAGTTAGCTATTCTCAAATTTCACATAAATATTTGTTGTTAGGAGTATATGTAGAAAGTGGTGTTTTTTAACATACAGTTATGATTATTCTGCACCTACTAATCAGTGATGTGAAGTGCTAGCTTACTTAACTGCTTGTTATCATAGCTTTATACAAATTCCTCTATATAGATTAATGGTTACCTGTACATAACAGTTTGAGTTTACTTGTAATGTTTTGAATTCAAGTTTACAAATTTTGAAAAGAAATCAACTAAGCTATGTTGTGGAGAAAAAGTCATTGTTATATATCTATAGTTTATAAACAGTTTTCTGCAGGCTTCTAGGAAAAATTCTGAGTTTGTTTTTTCATGGTTTCAAAACTTTTTAGTCATGGAGACAAGAACAAATCTTGCACACCAATAAGTTCAGTCATTGCACAGATGTTCCACAGTGTGCCTCGCTTTGAAGTATTTGTGTGTTATTGAGGTGCTTTAGCTTATATATAAGTCTATATTTACAAAAAGTTGCTTCTCTGCATTTAAATCCTTTTATCAATAGCTGTTGATTTGTTATTTGAAGGTGCTAATATATTGTAGTCAATGTTCACAAAATCTATTACTAATACTAGAGCACATTTTTTTTATACATCTTTAATTACTTAATCTTTTGTCACTCAAGGTTTGTTCATGATATTATGTGGTTTGAGTTGTTAAACTGGTCAAAGCTGGTTTGAGTCATCTGTGATTTGGGTCTGTAGGCTTAGATCACCTGTACTTGGGGTTTGTGATTTGGATTTTTAAGCAATGATCCCCAGTAATTTGGGTCTTTAGGCTATAGTCTGCAGTGACTTGGGTCTAGGCTATAGTCAGAAGCGATTTGGTTCTTTAGGCTAGAGCCTGCTGTGAGTTAGGTCTTTAGGCTATAATCAGTAGTGATTTTGGTCTTAAGACTATGATTACTTGTGGTTTGGGTCTTTAGGCATAGCCTGCAGGTATTTGGGTCTTTAGGCTATAGTCTGCAGTGGTTTTGGTCTTTAGGCTATAGTCTGCAGTGGTTTGGGTCTTTAGGCATAGCCTGCAGGTATTTGGGTCTTTAGGCTATAGTCTGCAGTAATTTGGGTCTTTAGGCATAGCCTGCAGGTATTTGGGTCTTAACGCTATAGTCTGCAATGGTTTTGGTCTTCATATTATAATTTATGATCTCTAAGCTACAATTACATTTGACCTTGGTCTTTATTTTCTGCCCTTGTCACGTGATCTAGCTGTGTCAATGTGTGTAGAATATATTGCCTTATCTGTTTAGTCTTCCTACCTCTTAGCATCACAGAATAATGAATACAGGGATATGATGGCCCGCTATATTTTTGCATTTTCTAATTACCCTTGCAAGTTCAAAATTGGACAAATATACAAAAAGTGCAAGTTTTGAAGTTGTAGAAACTGGTTATCTGACAATTTAAAAAGCATATATTGTCCCTGAATGCAGCAGTATTTTAGCTTAGAGAGTGTGTTCTTTTTTTAAGCATGATGCAATAATTGGTCAGGGGCAGATTTTTATATACATGTGTAGTTTACCTCTCAAGTAAATTCCATTGAGATGGTAAGTTTGTTTGACATTTCAGAATATGTAGTAAACAATTGTATACCTCTTTTGCATATAATCAAATTGGGTAGAGTGGCTCTTCAACCCTGGGTAGAACCTAGTAGGCCCAACACCCAGATATTCAGGCCTGTCCTTGCTTAGTTTTGGTGTTTACTAATTGTTTTATTGTTTTTATCCCTGATTATAGGTTTGTTATTCCTGTGTACTCTGTTGTTTGCCTTTTGCCATCATTGTGAACCACAGGTTATAATCTGGTTGCTCGCTCTATTTCTGTCTTGTGGCTTGCGAGGGTGGTCTAACTTCCTGTGATAATTTGCTCCCCCCATGCTTGTATTTATTTTTTGAATGAGTTGATTAATATAATCTGTGTATGGGTTGTCAATTAAAAAAATATCATCTGAAGTTCAACCTTGATTTTTTATACCTGAACTTCAGATTTTATCTAACCCCAGTAAAAGTATTGTTAGAAGTATAACCTTTTAAAAAACACCTTTATTTTTTTTGTTTTATATATATGATGGTGAGTGCAGTATACCCATAGTTGTTGTGGTATAGCTAGTGATTTTTATATCAAAACTATATGGTTATGGGTAAAACACAATTCCTTCTAGTATTTACATTTGTTGGGTAGTGTTGAGATGTGTACTACTATTAAATGGTATGTGTATGTATGTGATGTGCTATTCTTTCTAAAGTCAATACACCTCTGCTGTTATTTTTTTTTTCCTGGAGTGAATGTTAATTGGGTCCTTGCCAATATCTAACAGCTATCAGTAATCCATTAACAATTTTTCAGCTTGGTGTTACATGATATATATTGTAAAATCATTATGAATTTGTTGTGCACTTATTAACAATTTCTTTAGGGCTTGTTTTGGGGAAGTGTTAGATTTGTGCATTCAGATTCACAATAGCCAAATATTCAAATGTGTCTAGATATATGGTATTCAGGTGCCATAAATGGCAAAAAAAAAGAGAAAAAACTAAAAGGACTTGATGTTGTGGTAAATTAAAAGTTGTGAAACTCATTGATTTTTCGGGATTAAATTTGAATTTTTTTGGTTTGTACATTAATTTTGTAGTGCGTAAATCTCGGATGAAGTATTTGTTAAGAATTTAAACACATGGGTTTGTTTTTTAATTTTTAAAGAAAAATTTGATAATATATATTGTTTCAGTTGATTTGTATATTAACAAAGATTTACTTATAATATTGGATAGTGGTTGAATTTATACTAGCTGGTGTTTTTTCTGCATCTGTATGCTGTAAGTTGGAATAAACAAAGAAAAAAAAATTATGTATATTATAATATAAAACATCTGGTAAATGTTTATGTAAATTAAAAATCGATACAGCCTTGTAAAGGCATGAAATTATACTGTAAATGTGCATTAGATAAAATGAACAGAGATTATAATTGTTCACTAATTAATGTATCTTGTTAATGAACAGCTTATTATTATATACACACTTTTACTGTATTTTTCCCCTTCTTGTGATTTGTTTGTGATGTATTTACATTTATATATATTGTCAATTAACATGTCAAAATAAAAACACCTATTTGATAACTTGAGGAGTTTTTCTTATAATTTATACCCAACAACAAAGTCGATGGTATTTTGTCTTTAACTTTGATAGTTGCTAATATTTTTAGCTCTACTGGTCAGAGACCATGCGATAGTAAGGTGTCCGTCTGTCTGTCTAGCTGTCTGTCTGTCTGTCAGCTGTCTGTAAACAATTTTTCAAAACGCTACTCCTCCTACAGTTTTGGTCTGATTTCAATATAACTTGGCACACAAGTAGACTACATTAAATACATATATTAGTGCATCGGTTTTAGATTTTAATGTCATGGTTACATGTACTAAAAATAGAAATTTCTGTGAAATTGCTTTAAAATGCTACTTTTCCTACAGTTTTGGTCTGATTTCAATATAAGTTGGCACACAAGTAGACAACACTAAAACCCCATTCATACGACATGATTTGCATACCTAAGTATATTTTACTCATAAGTAAATGTACTCACATGTGCAATTTTTGTCGTATGAACTGATTTGCTCACATTTAAACTCTGCACAGTTGAGTAAATTTACACATGGTCAGGACTAGGTGCAAATTAACTTTTGCATACATGTGGCAAATTATTAGTTCTGGTGTGTAGATTTTGTCTTATGAACACGCAGCAAATTTACTTATGAGTCTATTTTGTATTGTTTATTGCATAAATCTCCATTTTAAATGTTGTTTAGGTTGTTTATGCATTGGTGTATAACATCGGTCTGTTAAAATGGCGGAAAGAATGCAAAAGAAAAAAAACTGAACTTTTTATGGTAATTTTTGCTGTACTTCAAGGACAGCTGATAGTAAATTGAGTTTTGATAAGGGTACTGCTTTAAAGTGTTACGCCAGGTTGCACAAGCACGGTTCTTTCCACAAATGGCTTTTTCAACTCTGAAAAGATCGAGACTATAACTCCAGTCTCCTCTGAGATAAATTTGAATTTGTAAAAAACGTGCTGAATTTGCAAAAAAGCTCCGGAGCTGCATTAGGAATAAGCATTGCATCAATCACCCGGTGTCATTACAGATTAAATTTCTTCTACGTTTCTTGTATTTAAACCAAGGCAAGCTACTGACATATGAATTGATGTTACAGAAATTTCAACAACACTGTTGAAAATAAGCATTTCAAGTATTCTTCTTGGCAACTGATCCTACCATGAATTTCTAGGGGATTCGTGTTTATTTGCTATTCACATATTTGTTTAGTTTGAAGTTTTTAAAAATCGATTGCCCATTTCATTCTCTTGGAAATACATGTAACATTCAAGCAGATTCTTCATAATAAACTCGCAAACTTGATGAACTGTAGATTTCCAAACACCAAAAAGATTTCCAGTCGTCCTGTTGAAGACGCCAACCAGTAGTCAGACATCTTTTTCTTAACACCCAACGGCTCTTTTATAGTTTAAGGACCGAGGCCAAAGCATTTTCCAACTTTAAACAATGAATTTAATTAATTTTCATTTTTCGTGTGTAAATTATTTCCAAAAAGTTATTAAGGACGTTCGATCCTGATATTTTGAGCGTATATCGCGCAGGCCTTTTATTCATAAATTTAAGCATCAGTTTTAGGTTCTAACGATAAAACTGAATTCTACAATGCAAATTAAACTATATTCAATGAAAAAATCGCGATTAAATTCCATTCAAGTAGAATTAAGCTAGGGACTATATTTTGTGGCGGAAGGTTTTTTTAGACGAAAATGATCAGTTTTTTTTTCTCATTTGAACTATAACAGTACTGTTAATTTTGGATGCCTATTTTCCCATGCTAGTTGCACACAAAGCTGTTTTTTGCAGTGAAATATGTTATGCTGGTTCTGAAATATCTATTAAATTATTTCTTATGAATTCTATCAACAAAGTGTGACAAATATAAAATATATTCCCTTTTTAACGTAAAATTCACACTTTTTTTTAAATATCTGAAAATGTACATCATATACCCCCACTTTTGATGTTCTTTTCTAAATATTCAAGATAACTTTGATTTGCTTAAAATCAGAAAAAGTTTAAGACTTTAAAATAATTTTCTTGCTTATTATATTTTCAATGCCGGAAAAATAACATTTTATTAGTTCAGAAAGGTCAAATAATTGATTATGCGAAGCGATTTGGATAAAAATATTGGAGGGAAAACGTCGAAGATATAATTTTTAATCAAGACACAAATTTCAGTGCAGAAAAGTCATACTAAATGTACTGTGGCGCTAAAAGAAGCATATTGACCCCCATTTTTTGATTTGAATTTCAATTAAGCTATGTATGTAGAAACTAAAAATATACTTGGCAAAAAAAGTTTAAGACTTTAAATATCAGGATCGAACGTCGTTAAGTCGTTTTTATTCGAAAAAGAAAATAAATGGATAGGATTTCCCCCTACTTTCTTTGAGGAACATTCAAAAGTTGGTCTTATACCCAAAAAGTAAGAAAATACCCATTTTCTACAAAAATCTGTGGATCTTCTTCTATTTTATATGAAAATACAAGGATTTACTTACAGTACATAAACCTCGTCTGAACACATAGCAAATTAACTTTTACTTACGTGTGTATTTTTACTCAGATGTAAATTTGCACACATAAGCAAAATATTTTGTCGTATGAATGGGGTATAAGATACATAATTTAGTGCATTGGTGTTTGATTTCGATGAATGGTGTTGCCATGGTTACTAAAAATAGACATTTCCGTGAAATTCCTTTAAAATGCTACTTTTCCTACAGTTTTGGTCTGATTTCAATATAAGTTGGCACACAAGCAGATTACACTAAGATACATAATTTAGTGCATTGGTTTCTGATTTAGATGAATGGTGTTGCCATGGTTACAAAAATTTCTGTGAAATTCCTTTAAAATGCTACCCCACCTATAATTTTGGTCTTATTTCAATATAACTTGGCACACAAGTAGACTGCACTAAGATACATAATTTAGTGCATTGGTTTTTGATTTTTATGAACGGTGTTGCCATGGTTATTAAAAATAAAATTTTCTGTGAAATTCTTTTAAAACGCTACCCCTCCTTCAGTTTTGGTATGATTTCAATATAACTTGGCACACAAGTAGACTACACTAAGATATATAATTTTAATTATTGCTGCCGGTTGCAAAGTTTCAAATCCAAGTGCTACTTATCCTTTGTTATACATACAGACCAGTAGAGCTATAGTCTCATCAGAGACTTCTGGTTTTTAATGCAGTTGAAGAACAAAAGCATTATAATTGGTAAGGAACAAGTCAGCCAAAATATAACCCAAACATAGGTTAAACTTGCTAACAAGGTCATTAAAACGTTTGTGAAAAGCTGACTTTTAAGAAACCCTTGTTACATTAACTTATTTGTCAGTAGCATGTCTTGATTAAAAAACTTTTCATACTTGCAGTATGAAACTCACTGAGTTGATTCGATACGCAAGAGCATGCTCTGCTTATGAACAATTCTAAAAAAAAATGAAGTTAGTTATTACATACGTGTAACAAACAAGTTGGTCAAACAAGAATATCAGCAGCCTCGTTTAAAGTCATCATTTCGTAAGTTCTGTGGTCTATACAATGACCTTGTCAGCAAATACAATTTATCTTGAAGTCAAATGCTGACTGATTTTCTTTTCATACTAATTGTTGTTCAGAGTGCTTTCTGTATTGTTTTTGCGTAAAAATTTGAAAAAGTTAAAGATCTGCATTTATTTCGCAGGTGTTTTAAAGGAATTTAAAAAAAAAACGAAAAAAAAAAACATAAAGTGCTTATTTAAATCGTCTCTCCGTTGTTAGGCCTATTGATTTTTAACTACATTTCACCGTGTGATATCGAATGCAATGTCTTTTAGTTCTTGCACAAGATGAGTGGGTGTATATGTAAGAAGATCAACGAACGGGCTTTAATTTTTCATTGATGACTGCACTAATAAACTGGAGAAGAGACTAACACCTCTTTATCACTGGGCAAACACCCAATGTACAATGGTGATGATAACGGAATATATGGTCCAAAGGAAGATCATTAAATAATGAAAGGTTGTAACACAGGCTTAATTTTCCACGGGTCGCCTAACGGAAGTATCCCTCAGGAGGAAAGTGATGAGGAATCAGGACGAGGGTCACCGAATGATGGACGAGGGTCACCGAATGATGGATCCCCCAAAGGAAGCAGGGATACATGTTCCCATGGAGACCGATCCCTTCCTACAACGTAACGGTGAGTAGAATTCGGTTTTGACAAGGATCACAGAATTGATATATTGCATTTCACATCCTTCACGAAGAATCCAATTGAAATATACTTTTTATTAGTTGTATTTTACGTTAAGTGTAGGAAAATGACCACGAAATAGCATTACTGCTTTGGCTATGCCTTTTAATTAAGTTAAATGTTTTTTTTTAACCTGGCAGAGAACATTGTGTACAGAATAAAAAGACAAATACATAGTTTAATAACTGTACATGTATATCTTTATGGAGTCCGAAAGATATCAATTTCATTGGTCTTTAACATTTTTAAGTCGATAGAAAAATATGCATATACCAATCTAATATCGTGTTTAACATGTTTAATATATGTTATATTTCAATTAATAGTGGAATTTGATAATTAATACTCTTTTTAGATGTATAGAGTGTTTCCTACACCAATGATATGCATTATGCTTATGTTATGTATTTCTCTATACGTGTGTAACACAATGTCAAGTTACATACCTTGACCCACTGAAATAATTCATCAGATAAAAGTTTATCTTATGTATACCTCCCAATCATTACAAATCTCAAAAGATCGTAGATTAAGTGTTAAAAGTAAACAACGGAGGAAAGCACTGACACGATAAAATGACAATGGTATTCAGAGACGATCAGACCAAAAATTATTAGTCTGAATTCACTTTAGAATCATTTCTCATTGTTGCAAGAATAAATTATTTTCTGGTTAGTCGTTCAGTGAGCCTTATGACGTCAGTAAAGGTGCTCAAACTACTGACTTACATAGAAGTAAAACTGATGAAAATCAAACTAAAATCAATAAATAAATTGAAATAAAAATCAGCTTGCATAAAATTATGAAAATTTCTTTATTTCCTAGATGATCACTCGTGTGAAAAGAAGAGAGAAAAGTATAGGTACAACTCGGACTGCATAAAAGGTATGTACCCTCGTACACTTCTATAGTTTTAAATCACTGGGCTGATCAGCATTATAACGTTTATTGTTCTTTGCTGTTTAGGATGGATCCCTCTCACCATTATTGTATCTATTGCAATGGCAGCCGTCATGTTCGGAATCATCAACATTTTAAAAACGTAAGAAATGTTCTAATAATAAATACTTATATACACTAAAATCACATATTTTCGTGGGGTCAATTTTTCATGGTTTGAGGAAAATCTCTTGGTTCGTGTGGATTTGATTTCGTGGATCAAGAATTGATGAGTACTTATGTATGTAATATTTTACATTTCGTGGTGGACATGAATTCTTGGGTCTCGTCATACCTCGAAAACAAGGAAAATTAACCCCCAAGAAAATTTGTGGTTTCACAGTAAATGAATACAGAGAGTCAAATATTACGTACAAGTAATAACCCAGTTTAAATTTAAGGAGAAAATGCATATAGCAAAAATACTGTATATCAACAGAATTGATTAATTCAAACAATTTGATGCAGTTCTCGATGCACTGTAGTGATTCTTTCAACAACAATCTATAGCCCCATTACTGTGTGTAACAGTATGATACTTTTCAGGACATACCAGCAGCACACACTTCAAAGGGACAAAAATCCTAATCTTGAGCTTCAGTTTTTAGAGGAACAAGGGATAATAGTGACAACAAAGCAGCTATACACAAGTGATAAAAAGATCAACGAAAAACCTAATGTGAATCTCACCACATCTTCTTTAGAAAATGATAATTTATCTAACATGAAGACTGCAAAAGAGTCTTTACTGGAAGATACAAGGACGTTTAAGCTTAACATGGCTACAAAGGCCAGTTTTCATCCAATGACAGTGTCTACATCAGTGAAAGCTGATTCAGTTTCAAACACGTATGGATATACGTTAGTTTCTTCCCTCATAATAAAATCAAGAAAGAATCTAGAATCTGGAAAACGAGAATTTGTAGTCAGCAAGTCTCCCCCTTTATCAGAAAAAGGGAACAAAACATCGTCAACTCCAAAACAAAGGGCAACATTGTTCCCTCGAAAATCATCAACATTAACAGCAAAATCATCATTATTGATGAAAAAGACATCAACATCTCAATCAACAAGATTATCATCTATAAAATCATCATCAAATTCAGTACACTCATCTAAAATATCTTCAGTAGAAAATATATCATTAACAACAAAATCGTCAACAACAGAACCGCCAGAAGAAAGCTCATTATCATCATCAACATCAATAAAATCTTCAATGACCACAAAAAGATCACTTACACCATCAACAGTAACATTCACAATACATCCGACATCAGTAACTATAAAATTACCAATATTCTCAACAAAATGGTCATCATCAGGACAAATATCAAAATCTATTAAAAAACAATTGAAGAAACTATCTAATGCACCATCGATATCAACTTCAACACTATTAACGAAAAAGAAGTCAACATCAATACGAAGCAAATCAAAATTATCAACAAAACCTGCAATAAAATCACCTAGTTCAACAAATAAGTCTTCGAAAATGACAACAAGAATTTCAACACCAAAATCAAAATTATCAACAAAACCTGCAATAAAATCATCTAGTTCAACAAATAAGTCCTCGAAAATGACAACAAAAATTTCAACACCAAAATCGTTGATTTTAACAAAACTCTCATTAACAACAAAAAGATCCTCAGGAAAACCAACAACAATATCACTAGTAAGGTCAACAACTACACAAGCAATCAGGCCTTCAGCAACAGTCGAACCACCAATAACACTAACAACAAAAAGCACATCAACAGCCAAATTTTCAAGAAAACCAACAACACTTACATCAACTAGTAAATTATCAACTCCAACAATATATACGTCAACAACGTTGAAATCATCATCAACATCAACAACGCATACAGTAACAAAATCATCAAATAAAATAACAACAGATGAACCAAAAACACCCAAATCATCAGTAGCACTAACAACACGTACACCACCACCAACAACAAACAAATCCACTTTAACAACGCAGGGATCAATAACATCCAAATCACCAATAACACAATCGACATATTATTCAGAAACACCAACAACAAGGAGATTCTATGATTCATTGTCAGTTCACAACATTGGGAAAACGTCCAGAAAAACAACAAAATTAAAAGGAATTTCTAAGGTAAAATCGACTACATCTCCACAGTCTAGAATCTCCTCATCGTCATCGCCTCAAACTATAAAATCCACCAATTCTGTATCACAGTCATCGTTACTGAAAACTCAGGGAACATTAAATAATCCTCAGCTATCCAAAGAATACACAGTGACGCAAAACGCACTATCAACAAGAACAAGTTCAGAAGTAACACAGACTTCTTCTGGTTCATCAAAAACGTTTGTAAAATCACAACCTCACACGATACAGACAACAGAATCGGGTTCAGGGTCATCCTCTTCAACTCCTTCACATATCTCAATTTTAACACAAACTCGGGAAAATGAGAAACAATCAATCAGATCCCAAGGAATGGCTGATACTACAATACTGGGAAATGAAATACCTCCAATGTCAACCACTTATGATCTTTATACCATCACGTCAACTCCAAGGCTGCCCTCTACATATCGTTCTAGTCCACTTTATACACTTTATTCAAAGTCACGTAAGTTTTCATCAGATCATTCTATTATACCGGTGACAACAATTGAGATCAAAAGAAATGAAGATTCTGAATCAGAATCAACTTACAAAGTAATTCCAGCGAACAGACAGACACCACAACCTACAGACGGTTCTAATGTTCAGGACCCATTAGCAAGAAAGAAAACAACGTCAAAAAGAGTGTTAGATTCAACAAGTACGAGAAAAGAAACATCGACAAACTCTAGTACAAGCACTAGAAAAAATCAACTCACAACAACAGAACCCATTATCGCACAGCAAGAAAAAACCAAATCGCCAATGAAAAATTCAAATGACAACAGAAATCAATGGAAGGTTCCCTTAAAATGTCCTCGAACAGATCTAAATCCTGAAAAGATGGAGTTCTACAAGATTGGAGTAGAAGCGACCAGTGGGCTGGCGGAACTTGATGAGGACACGAGGGGATGGTCGGTAGAGGAAGAAGACACCTCAGAAAATATTACAATCCACTCCAAATACATTTACAAATGGGGCCTCAAAATCTATCGTATCACAGTAAGTACATTGAGAATATTACATTCATCAAATACACTGTACAAGAAATTTATCTTATCAAAAAAAAAGCTAACCCATTATGGAAGGTGGTAATTTCTGTGTTTGTTTTATTGCTTTTTGTTTCACAGGCAGATGTTGATATCAGCGCCCGCGTGTTGTGGGAGGATATGGTGATCAATGTGAATGATACAGCCAACTGGAACAAAGACATGAAAGAAGTCCAGGTAACAGTATATTTAGTCAAGCATTTTCAATGGACTTTCTATGATTTATACAGCTTCCAATGGTATAAGCACAGAGCTTTAAAAATTCTTCCAGCTGCTAGAACAAGTGAACTCCTGTACGGATGTGGTTCGTCAAACAATGCACGAAATCGCTGGTCTGATGTCAGCTCGGTCACTCCTTCTGGCCAGACAATGGTCAAAGAGGAACGGAAAGTTTAATCTCGCTACGTCATCACTTATGTCTCCCAAGTTCCCGGATCCAGAGGACATTGTGACGTAATTTAACCTAAACGTTTTTTCACCTACATGTAATATATTTGCCATGAATATCGAGTACATGCGAAAGTTTTAATATTCACATGTATATGTAGATTAGATTTTACTTTATTTGCAGACAAATTAGGTTTAAGGTTGATCTAAAGTTCGTTTTTATCTGTCTGTGGTTAACTTTAAAAAATGAATGACTTCACAGTAAATGTACAAGTACTGTGAAAACAGCTAGAATGAAGCTAAAAATAAATCATATAGCTATACATACTTATTTCTATGATAAGGTTTGGAACATGTCTCTAAATGATAACAACGTTTGTTATATTCGCTACATATTCATTAAATAAATTCAAAAATAAATCTTTCTTCAAAAATTGAAAATCTGATGTAGAAATCGCCAATAAAACGTTCTTGAACACTGTTTCAGTGGCCACCTGTATCCGTCAGGGATGATGTATATCCCCAATAAAGATGACCCCGACAGAAGCACGTTTGTCTGGTTCTTTGCAGTCGATTTAAAGGCATGTAATACAATTTTGTTATAGTAACAGACATGAGTAGATTTTTGTCAAGCTTGTGTTTTACCTCTAAGCATCTCTTGTTCTTTTCAGTTGGGCTGGGTTCCTCAATATTTTATAGACTTGGGCTTTATGCACGGTCAGAAAAAATTCATTAGAAGTCTAAGAGGACATGCAAAGACACTCAAACGAAAAAGCTCATGAGGAAGGAACTACATATTCCAACAGAATGCCATTTGAATGTTAACCAGTAATGGAGAGCAGTGGAAAAGTTTCTTTATTTGTGATTGATACATCTTTTTCACTGGCTGTTGTATTCATCCGCTTGTCCTGAGGAAGTTAACCGACAACTCCTGGGTCGGGTGTACTTCCTGTTGCGCTCACTGTGGGATGGTACTGTTTGAAATAACAATCAGTGAAATAGTTTGCTTTTATCAGGAATGCTAACAATTTTCTGTTTGTAATTTTGAACTGATTATGAAAGTAAATATGTTTTAAAAGCATATTTTCTTTGGTTAACATTGGAGGTATTAGAATTTTTGTTAACAAATACTCACAACTTCCAATACATGAGCAAGGTCATGGGATCCCATAGGATAACCTACAGATATTTACAGAACAAAACAAATCAGAGAGATATTCTTAATTTTTAGAACTCTAGATTTGAGTGATTCGCGTTTGCTGGTAAATATGGTTGATATGAATTTTACAGAGAAATAAAAGGGGGACAAGTAAAACGGAATTCCTGTCTTTTAAGATATTCACAATGTAAAGTCATATTCAAAATAGAGGCAAATTTATATATTTGATCTCCCATCATGGAAGATTTTTTTTAATTCCATGCTCCGTACATCACTTATTTTTATCAATGTTTTTATGTAGGAATCTGCTGTTACTTTACTCCATCACTGTCACACAAAACCCATTGTGACGTCACAATTTTGGGTTATGAAAAATCCAATGAGTGATATCCCCGGGATAAAGGGGTTAAACCTTGGATAAATTGTATAATCTATATCAGATAAGAATTTTGAGGAAATTTTTATTCGATTCCTTTTTGGTGGTGATCATTTCATTCAATATAAAACATGTAACTGCACATGAAAAGATAATGCAAGCTAACACGACTCTCTACCTATTTTAGCATGGTGATTAGTTCTGGCCCCGTTCACTAGAACCTCGATATCATCCAAACACCCGTCATGATCCATATCCATGTTTTTGACGAATTGGGTCGATGTTTCTATGGAGTCGTGATAGATTACCGTCCACACCGCTGTAAACTCGCTATAAGATACGCATCCGTCATCTGTAAATATTTGTGAAGATTTTAATGATTTCATAAATTTTATCAATCATATGAAAATAGTGGAAACTCTTCACGGTACTAGTAGGCCTAATTATTTTTAATGCTAATCAGACGCAGTGTTTAATTATTTTTCCAATAGAAACTGAATTTGATGAACTGACTGCCTTTATACAAAATTGCTGAAATTTTTTGTTTATATAATTAATTAGACATTGTTTTTAAGTTTTGAACATATATAATCCGTTACTATTAATGTTTACTCACGATTCCTGTCATAGTTGACATCGAGGAAGTGACGTAGTTCGTCATAGGTCACGTGGGAACCCTTGGGATTCACTCTATGAACTACCTGTGCTGACATTTGTTCCAGTGTCATACCAGCCCTGTTATAAAAAAAATGACGATAAAGAATTTTAAAAGTTTAAAAAGTGTATTATTCATTGCATTATTCGACGTCCCCTAATGCGTGAGTTGCGATACTTTACACTTAATAATACTAGTACTGTTCCTTTATCATGTTTATCTAGATAAAAATGAGAAATGAATCTAATAAACAGTTATCAGCGATTTATAAACAGGGTCAACACAGACCTCTGAAAAGAAAAAAAACCGTATTCACTTCGTCACAGTTCAGTGTAAAAATAATAGTCTAACAGTTTCTATAAAAGTATCAGTCATAATTCTTCTTAACGGCAGATTTGATTTGTAGACAAGGACAAGGGATCAGGCATAGTATATGTATTTGTATTTGCAAAATGTTAATTTTTAAAGAAAGTTTTGAATCCTCTGTATCATCGTTTTGTTTGTTAATAACCTGTCGTGTCTTAGAAGTAGTCTTTTTATTCAGTCTTGGAGTATATATACAGAATGTAGATGACCAATGACAAGGCATGTAAATGACTGATTGAATCTTCTGATGTCAAAGTGTCTATATGCTCGAAGGCCTTAATTAAGAGCCGAGTTCAAGTCTATATTTGTTGAAGCCCTCCATCGGCAAGTATTGGCATCTCACCATGAGTTAAAAAAGGTACTCTAACGGACCTCAAAAAACAGAAAAGATGGTGATGGAAGGGGAGATTAAGATTGTAAGACAAGTGATCTTGACCACATACTGACCCCAGAACTTCCTGGACAATCAATAAGACACAGACAGCGGCAATCCGGACCACTAAAACATAATGAAGAAAATAATTTAATGTCATTTATTTCAAATTAAATTTCAAAATTCAGTTTCTTGTAAAGCATGGATATATAATTTTTAAGTTAAAATATTATATCATTACGAACAGATTGATGATACCTATGTATTTGAAATTTCATTTGCAATAATCTTTTTTATAAAGAATATGTTCTAACTTTTGGTGTTTTAATATTTCATTAATCCATCAATTTCTAAAAGATTATCTGAATGTTGTTTGTTATTTTACAAAGGACAATAACTTTTCATTTCTTACTTACACATTCTGAGTTCTTTGTTCCAGTCCTATCTCTGTGACATATAACTAAGCCTTTGTGCAGTTTGTTACGTGGCCTACACTTTACACGTGTTCTTCAGATGATAGATCATGATAATTTTTACTTGATTTTTCCAATTTTAAATTTCGTGATCTTGAGTCCAGACCCCAGATAATGAAATAGTCTTAGACGCATGGCGGAATATTCAGTCATTCATAAAACGTTAATTCAATTATATATCACAATATACATATTTTGCTTTATAATCTAAAAAGTATATCATGGCCCTTTCCATGTTCAAATATTGCAAATGTTCATAACATGGACAAGTGTATGGCAAACTTCAACGTGCTTCTACACCTAGATGTACTTGTAAAAAAAAATGTAAAAGATTTTTGTAGTCTCAGAAAAAAAGCTCCAGCATTAAAACTAATTATTTAATTTGTAAGGTTTTCACTATTACAATTACCCGTTGTTACAATTATATGTACTAGCTTTTCAGTTGTTATGCTCACTTTTATATCGCTGTGCCCTGTAGTATACTGAAAGGAAAAAGAAACGCAGGGTAGCATAATTTTCGATTAAAATTTGACCACATGACCGAAAATTACGAAAATTTGTCAGAAGAGAAATTTAGTTACTGTGCATCAAAATCAGAATTCAGAACTACTCAACCGTAAAATTTATGACGTCACGTAGGGAAAACGCTAAAAAACCCAAAACACGTGCAATTTAATAACGACGAGTTTGTCAACAAATCTTGTTGCATTATTTGATGCACCTGAGGTATGCACATCGATTTTCAATATTTAGAGACAACATGAATTTCTTCCAATCTTAGTACGCTTAACAGAAGTTCAAATGGGGTCTTGTTTTCGAATTGCCTAATTATTGAAAAAGGCAACAACGGTTGACAAAGCAGTATCTTGTAAATTTTTCCCCATAAAACTTGTTACCCGTTGTCAGAGAGGGCCTGGAATGGTTTTCAATCAACCGTGATGATGACGTTAACGCGAAATAGAGCCATATTACGAGCGGGTTATTCGTCCTGTCATCTCTTAAACCGTCACCTTTCTACCACAAAAACTGCGATTTATACAGTAGACTATAATAATCATTACATTCACACGAAAATTGAAAGAAAACAATTCGGCAATTTGGTTTTTTGAGCTGGTCAACTTACTGTTGTATTCCTCTCACTGGCGCATGCGCGTGTCGTTTGACCCATTTTTCTGCTTGGTTACCAATGCCCAATATAGCCAGAGTTTGAAAGATAAACACTTTGATGAAATTCCATGCAAATGAGAAAAACGGCTCTTACAGATGCACTAGGGAGACATTGAAGAAAATAAGAGTTTTCGGTTTTCACTTTAGGGGGGTATCATCATATGAGCTTCCATAACTCATGAATTATTGGACAAACTCAAATGGGATTTTGGTTTTATCTTTTTGAAAGATGATTTTAAAAGTTAGACATGAATGCTAAAACATATTATAGAAAAAATAAATTTAATTCACATCAAAAGTTTACCCTGCGTTTCTTTTTCCTTTCAGTATATTAAAGAATTACATGTGCAGTTAACACAAAGAAATTGAGAAATTAATTAAAAAGGGAGTTATGACGTCGAAAAATGTGAAAAACGATATCTTCAAATTTACAAAGCCTCCCTTTCTGATATTTTTTTTAGATCTTAAATTGTCTCATGCAAGTAAAATACACGTAATGCATTGTGTTACAGATAAATTATATCTGAAAGGAAATTGTATTCAAATGACCTTGAATATAATCTTCAGAATCTTATCATTACTAACAAGTAATAGATATTGACTTTCTCATACCAAAGTCCACAATGCATTGGTACGTATAATGTATAAGTCGATAAGGAATAGTGCAAAAGTAGAAGTACTACGTGCACTGAGCTTGGAAATGACATCCTTGCCCTCACCCTCTACCTTATGGATATAATTGCAAAGTCTATGTTTTGCCATTGAATACGCCATATATCTGTCCGATTGAAGCATATATAACAATAGGGCGTGTATATAATAGACAAAAACCCTTCTGTCAGGGTTCAGGTTATTTATTTAGACACAGTGAGCAGTATATAAAAGTTGTAGCCCTGAAATATAATAAAACAACAATATCATATCACATAAATTCAGTCATAATACATCATCTATACATGTAGCTTTCGTAGGTAACATATCAGTAATGATATATTATAGATGATTTTTATATATGTACATTCACTCTCAATTAAGGGAGATAACTCTTACAACTGATATATAGACTTTACATATATTCTCCCATATAAAGGTTTAAAAAATATATCTAATTAAAATAAATAATTCCTCACCATTCTTTGGGGAAAGGCTACCACATGAATGTGTGATGTTTACCGCTTTGTATAAAATCAGTCTTGGTCATTACTCAACAAAACAAAGAATAAATATTTTGGCGGTAAAACCACTGACCATAAGAATAAAACCAATGAAAAACAACTTCACAACCAAACTACCAATAAGAATCAACAATACTCCAAAACCTTTGAACCGCCCTCAGGTATTATCTATATATATGTATACAGGTAGGGCTAAGTATATCATAGAGGGGATCAAGCTTTTTATACTTTTATCTATTATGGTACATGTAGTTTGATTCATTTACATTAAATTTAAAATATCTATATATTAAGTATATGTATATTACACACTACTATTTTTCAAGTTCAAGTTCAATTTATTCACTCAAACCATATCAATGGTACATGAGGTTCAACAATATATGTACAATATATACAAAAAATAAAATACAAGATACACGTGAGATGGCGGAAATACATTCATATAAAGTAACATAAATAATTATGGAGGACAGACTTTTTCATATACTCTATTTATGTAACTGCATAGTTTAATTAATACTTTGTAGTCAGCAGACGACAACAATTCTGAGAATTTGAAAAAATTTGGTCTATTACAATATTTACTGGGAAGATATTTTTTTTCTACATTCGGAAAAATGTTTACATTCTAAAATGTAGTGATACTCATCAGCTATTTGTCCATTATTACAAAGATTACATAGTCTAAACACAGAAGGTGGTGGGTGCAAAATGGCGCTGTGTAATAAAGATTCTGTAAAGGTTACATTAAGTTTAGTCCGTGGCATAGAGGGGACCAATGTAATTAACCAATTACACGTATAGATGGGTTTCTGATCAATACAATGATTTAGTCCTTCGAAGAAAAATGTCTGTATTTACCTCGCTCTTTGGTCTCGGTTAATATTGCAGGGGTGTTAATCATCGTATTAACCTCAAAACCAGCAATAATTTTAGTTGACTGAAAAACAGCAACAAATTTGTCATTTGATTTAATTAATGTTACAAATACATTAAGCAAACCTGATCATCTTTCTCATTTGTTTTTACTAGTAGAAAACGCGGGATTAAAATAAATAGTTGTATTCTTGCATGAATGCAAGAATCAATACACGGAGTTTGATTTGCTTTTGGGACATTAGAGAAATTTCTTTGATCTATTTTTGTGCTATGTAGAACAGATTCACCTTGAAGTCGGAAGCAAGTTAAATAAATGTCTTCATCAATTATATGGTGTTTTTGTTCTATTTTTGGTCCAATGTTGAAAAAATGTTTAATTATATTTTCAACACTTAAATACTGTAAATTATTTATTGAATAAATGTGATATTCTGTCATAGTGTGAATGGACATCAAAATGTCAAAATGAAATCCTTTCCCAGTGTGGCAGAATATCAGAGGTGCGGTTTAACTCTCGATTTTCCTACCCATAACGAAAAATGTTGTAAAAATACTTCTTGGCTTATATAGAGAGAGAGTAAATAAACCATCCCGAAAGAGACAAAAACTGCCAAAATTCCTGCAAATATGTTACTGAAATCCATGTTTATATATATATTATAATTTTTCAAATCTCGAATCAATCAGCTATGACGCCGCAAAGGCTCAACTATAACGTCATGTAGCCTTTGACACAGTATTACAAAAAGATAGCTCTTGGCAAAGGCAGAAATCCAAGGAAATGAAAAGACAGAAAATTCAATTTTTGTAGTTGAATGTGGAATTTATTTCACTTGTGAGACAGTATTTTTCTCTATATTTTCATTCGTGCTTCACACTCATTGAAAATAATTATATATATTTGAAAAATGGTCCTACTCGTGAAATCAGTTCTATATCCAACCACTAAATATTGAATATCCTGTATATATTCACCTGGGAAGTCCGGTGCACGTTATCATATTTTCTCTAACTTATTGTATTAATCGTATTAATTTAAATATCCTCAATCTGTTTTTAATAAGGTGTAGAAAAAAGTGTTATGTCCCATGGACATAACACTTTTTAATGCAATATGATTTCTGCAATGTTAAATCTCAGTCAAAGTGCATTCAATTTTCAAATAAATACATAATATAAAATATCGTCAATTTGACAAAGAATTTATTGATAAAGAAATAACAATAAAATTTTGATTTTTTTTTTTTTACTAGAGATGGGACGGCAATTTTTTTCAAGTGAAGAAGATATTTCAGCACAAAGAAGACTAAATTATGAAAACTGCCACTGGTTTTCTTTTTCTTTCAAATAATTTTACAATGTTATAATTTCAACAGATAAAAAATAAAATGGATGGATTTGGTGTCACTTGTTTAAGGACTTTGAATATGAGTATTGATGGGTTTTTTTTCGAAAATAAAAATGTAAATAAAATCAAATAAGATTTAATCTTTTAGCAGTCCGTTGGAATGCCCTTTGAATACACACATGTATGCTCAGTTATGTTAAATTTGTTTTCATATGAGGCAGAATTTATTCCAAAAAAAAAAAAAAACAAAACAAAAAAAAATCCGTGGCTCCTGATCAGTCTTTGATATTTCAGAGTTGTGTGTTTTCGCTGCTTACAATTTATATTGTTCAATGGACGTTAAACCTTTATTACTATTCGTTAACTCGTATTTCATTTTTGAAAGGGAAGAGTTTCAAAAATGAAATGAATGTAAATAACTAACAATATTCAAGCTCATAAGTTCTTTAAACAATACGAATTTGAAGCAGACACAAACACGGACTTCCAAAACATCAGAGGTGGGATCAGGTGCCAGGGAGGAGTGAGCACCCCCTGCCGATCGGTCATACCAGCAGTGTGATCCTTGTCATGATCGGAGAATAACGAGAAAATCCGTGGTCAAGTCAGTGTGTGAATAATGCATAATAATTAGTATAAAAGCGTCAGTCAGCATTGAATTAATGATAACTTGTATTTGCTAACATGGTCATTGTATCGATCATGCAACGTATAAAATGATGCCTTTAAAATGACTTAATATTCTTGTTTTATTAACTTGTTTGTCAATAAATAACCTTGTTTAAGAAATTTTTCATATCTGGAGCATGCTCTTTTGTATCGAATCAACTGAGAAATATTATCCTCGTACACAGGTTTATACAATGTATTTCTTAATTGATTCGATACGCAAGAGAATGCTCAACGTCTGAACAATTTCTAAAACGAGGTGTTATTGCTGTTTAAATAAAGGAATTTGAGGGTTGAAAAATTGTAGTCATTGCATTTATCATAAATCGAAATGTTGGCTTTCTATATAAGTAATTAAAAAGGGGTAAATTAGCAGCATATAAATATCTAACTGAAAAGTATTTAAAGACCATTTTTGTTAAATGAAGGAAGACAGCTAAACAACATACTTTAGATATTTCCGATTTCCAAATTTAATGACAATAAAAATCATTCCCCTTTTAAGTTCATTTATTCAATGTAATATTCCATACTTAAAATCCAGCAATATCTTATTCATACCTATTGAAATAATATTTTGAAATTTATTTTTATCCACATAAGTTAATACTAGTCAGAGTTGACGGGAATTGTGCTCCATTTGATTAGCATTATTATGATTTTCTCTTAATAAAGAAAGCTCGGTTTATAAAATAATACTCAACTTCTTCAAATACATTGAAGTTTGCTTCATCCACATCATTATGTAGAATGCGTATAAAATTGCAACATACAGTGTATTTGAAGTTGGAATGCTACGCAACTATAGACGATGCTTGAGAGTTCATTCATGCATTTTGGTAACAAGAAATAAATTCATCGTCAACAAACTAAAAGAATAAATTAACTTGAATACTATGTCCTTGTCAACAAAAACGATCTGTCATTTACTTGATTGCTGAGTGACAATTTTTCATACTTATTATTAGGCCGTTATTTACACACTGACTTGTCTGCGGATTCTTCCCTTTTTCCCGAAAAAGGAGCATACAAGGAGCATGTTGCGGGTGTGACCGGTCGACAGGTATGTTAACTCCATATGGCACCTGATCCCAACTCTGATGCTCTAAGAGATCCAGGTTTGATCTGTTCTGATGTGTATTGCATGTGTAAATGGACATTCGAGCATAAGTACTGATCGTTATCTTCAAATTTTATTTGAAGTGTTAAATTTTGTTATTTTAATTATAACTGATAGTCAAAATCAAGTTAAAGGAAATAACGATTCATCATTATCGCACATAACCAGGATTTTTGTGACCTTGTTCTGTTAAGTACTTTTATCTGCAAAGAATTTACGATAGGGGTAGACCCTACCCCCAACCCCACGTCCTCCCGTCCCCCTGCCCTCACCAGGTTATTAAAGAACCTCTAGCCAATAAAGAATAGAGCGCAATAATGTTTCCCTTTAATGCACAAATTTTCAAGTCACTTATAATACCTTTATGAAAAGCAATATGAGGTCACTTGCTCTGGTTAGAAGCAAGTAATTTGTGTTACATAGAAAAGTTGAAAGGCGAGAGGAAAATATAATATCCGTTTGCCTGAAAATCCATTAGATACTATCGTACTTTGGCAATTTTTAGAACAGATCTAAGAGAATTTTACACAGTTCAGAAGCAGAGAATATTCGTATTAAATATCGAATATTTTTTCCCTTGGAATGTTTCAATGCATGAAAAAGGGGGAAAATATAATTATTTAAGGGTTCTTTCATGTTTATCACGTATCAAAATTTCTTTGAAATAAAACACTGTTATATTCTTGAGACATATAATTCTCGTTTATTTATACTTTCGAAAACGGCCATGTCAAGACCATATATCAAAACGTCCGTAATGCTTTATTCCAGTGATTTGGTTATTACATACATTGCTTTAGATAATATAAGCTCCCTTCCATACATGTATACATTGAAATTACGTAAAAGCAAATTAAATAAACTATGGAAACTTGAGTTAAGACATTTTTATTAAGGAAACATACACATTTACAGAAAAATTGATGCATGAATTGATGTATATTTTCATTACTTTTTGAATAGAAATGATATAAATGATAATTCACTGAATGATAAAAAATTGTAAGTTTCATTATTTTTTAAAATATGTCATTTTCTATGTATTTTTCAAATTGTAACAAAATCTTACAAAATTCTCTTACTGTACTAAACAAATATTATTTAAATTTCCTATTAATTATTAAATACGAGAAATTGTGTTGATTTCGGAAAAAAGGTGTTTGTGTTATTTATCCTTAAAATTAAGGCCTAAGGACACAACCAAAATTACATTTAAAAAAAAAAACATTTGTGTAACAAATATAGGATCTCTCATGATTTGTAGTAAGATATGATTTTTATTTAACGTGTTGTGTATTTTTCTTATCCCCGAGCCTTTTAATTTTGAATAAAAGTGCGTTCAATTTTTCAAAGAGCGTTGTAACACAAAATGCATGCAAAGGTTGTCGGAAAATGATCTGATTTACCTATTCTTCGAATGATTGTTTAAAAGAACATCTGGCAGTTTCTCGGAACTTCAGATCATGGCAACTTGTTCATGTTTTCTGCATCATGCGTACTATAAGGATTGGGCCGGCCGGAGAATTGTTATTTTTCTAATTTATCAAAGTATAGTTTTTATGTTGTTAAACTTAAACTTTTACCGTGTAACTTAAGCGTTCAAGAATTGAACAAAATTTGCATGTTATGTAAAAAAAAAATCTATTTTCCTATATTTTTTTCCGTTCTTGTGTCAATCATTGTGTCTTTTAATCAAAAATTTGAAAATTCATTAAAACGAAGTGAGACTAAAATTGTTCTAATTTATAACCTCCTTGTGGCTGTAAAACATTACTGGTAAACTAATCAATATTAAAGGCTTCATAATTATAAATCATTGCATTTTAAAAACTTAACAATAACATTTTGATTTTCATAGAAAGAGTTCTCACATTTTTTTTTTACTTTTCAGTTGATTTTTTTTATATAGAATATTCCTGAAATACGTTGTACAAACATGTAATAAAAGAAGGAAAATAATATGTTTTCTAATTTTATTTTAAAATATGAAATTTTCGACGTGTGGTGTCAATTTTGAACCCAGGAGGGCTACATGTGCATTAACAACGTTTATGGAGAATGTTATGATTTACTGTTGAAGAAGTGAAAGAATGTGTTGGGAACACCGGGGATAGTAATATTTTGATATATATGGAAAAATAAGTCGAGAAACAGCACACTTTCTGTGCACAATAAATACACACTTTTTCTATGCATTGGTGGAACTGTGGCTCTCTGGTCTTTTTTGAAACCCGCAAGCTACAGATTTGCAGCTAAAACTTCTTCATTACCAAAATACACCCAATCCAATAACTTGGATAGAATTTAAATGCCTGTATATATATCAAGCGATCCCCAAGGTCGAATATCTAGTCCATTTAAAAAGATAGAAAATTAAAACAAAAATATTAATTTTTTGCTTGGTCCCCATTCCTCAATTTTAACACACCCATTGACCCCTGATCCGAGAATGTCCTCGAAGCTATTTAATGTCTTGACTTTTGCCTCTATATGATGTTTATACCTGGGCTTTTACGGAAATTGATCGGCAGCGGTCTCAGGTAAATTCTGCTGCATCACAAGCAGACGTGCCGAGGACATTGATATGCGCATGCGCCATAATTTAGAAAACATTAACGTAGTTGGTTCATTCATTCATAAGGTGTCGGAATTCAACAAGAGCATGACAAGGCAGAAAGCTTTGATAAAAAAATATTTCGGTTAAGCTCTGGTGAAATAGAAATAGATCACAAACGATATAGCACATAGCGTAAATGAGGCATATTAATACCTAGTCATACAGAAAGCGAATTTTTCCCCTATTAATTAGTGTGCATTTTTTATTAGTTGATTTACAGAAGGCATTCATTGACTGTTGCACAGATCACAAGGCAGGGAAATGATGGTTCTCTGCAACATAAACTCCAATACACAGAAAACTATCGACCGTTGAGAGTTGGGGGTGTATCGAGCGAGTCAGCAGTAAAAGTTTGTGGAACATTAAATCCTTACATGTAAGTTTAAATTTAATTATTTTGCTGCAGTATCCTTTGCAAATTTTATTTTCCATTAAATTAGTCTGTGCATTAAATGCAAATTATGCATAAAACTTTTCATTTGATCATTAGGTGATATTTGTAGGTAGAATTCTCATTTTATTTTTTCAATAATGAAATTAAACAGAATCAAAATTGTCATTACTTCTTACGTGCATGAAAAATTTCGCGAACAGTTAATTTTTTTTATTCTTCCGTTCTTTTTTTAATTGTTTATTTTTTTTAACATATAGAAAACTGTTGTCATCATTTTGAAATCGAACCGAAGACTCTTATGTATTTAGTTAATATCTCTATTAAGGTCGAGATAATTAACTTCCTCGACGTCCGACTTGATTTTGATTTTTTTTTTTTAGTGTTTTTCCAATCATTTTTAATTAATCAAAACTAACTGTGTGTCCGTATGAGGAACTGAAATAACATTTTCAATGTTGTTTTTCTTTTTGATAAGTATCAAATCGAAAAAAAAGAAGAAAATTTAACACTTATACCAGTTATTTTTTGGTTTGATTGAAAATACATTTTACATAGTACACTGCATATTTTTTGCAGAAACAAAATGGTAAAATAGATTAAAAAGAAAATAAAAATTCATTTAAAAAAATCAATTAAAAACAACTTTAATGGTTGATAAGACAGCGCTCAAGGTCGGTAAACCTGTACGTGATGTCCGGCAAAGATTCGGCCGTGACCTTGTTACACTGACCAGTAGGTGTTTGGAGGGCGGGAAAAAGTTCGACATCCTTGATACACTAGAAGATTTGCCCTAGCTGTTTTCGTTCTGTTTTTATTTGTCATCAATGAAAACATCTTTTTTTCTGGCATTCCTGGTCAATGTAACAACAATGTTTAATGCCCCTTTTTCTCAATTAGCTGGGACAAAGATTAGGTTTCCCTGGCTTTAATCGGCACCTTTACTCGACCACAGTCTGGAAAAAATAACAAATAATCTTCCTTTTAAGTGTTTTTACATTCACATTTCAAGTTTAACACTTATATTAAACAGTGATTACACATGTTATACTTGCCAATATCAGGCTAGATCTATAAGACCTTAAACTTCGGCATTTTTGGTCAGGCGCATTTCTAGGAAATACATTATCATCTCCAAAGTCCTCTTAAAACTAACCAATATACTAGTATTAGTTTTTACAATTCTCCCGTGTTTTACTTCGTTGAATTTACAAATCAATAGTCACTTTAATACATTAATTTTAGTAAATCATCTTAATATGTTATTTCATTTTGCGTTTGAGTACTTGGCTTGACAGACATTTTATCAATAATATCTATAGTTTATAGAAGTATAGGAGAATCAAAGGTGGCAATGTTTGATTAAACTGTAAGGATTTCAATGCACACAAGAGATTGCAAAAAGCTCTTTAGAACAAAACTCAATGGTGGTGTAGAACTTAGGTAATATTTGTTTTGCTGGCGTGGCCTTGTGTATTGGTAATTTTCAATACCGTATAAATGCTAATCGTTTAAGGTTTTAACTACATGTGTTCAAATAAATCACGTAATCGAATAAAAAAAACTTTCTTTTTTACACGGAGTATATAGTTGCTGTATAATTATTACTTGGGCGGTGCATGCAAAAGATTGCACGTTAGCCGCGATTTGAAATGCTAGTTTTGTGTCGCGTATATTGATTTGTTGGGTAGACAAAGCAAAGGTTAGGTGAACTTGGATTGAAATTTTGAAACTGAAATTGAAAATTCTGAAGTCATGTTCTCAATGCCACCACGAATAACATAGCGGAGGTCAACCCAAAGACAGAAATACATATACGCATATGTTAAAATTCTTTGGATATACAAACGAAAAATTCATTCTCGAACAACGAAAAATTCTGACTTCGATAAATGAAATTTATCTATTTTCATTGGTTTCCTATGATCCTTTAAATGCAGTTTTAATGTAAGTCAATTATAATTAATTGAGGGGTGGGGTGGGGGTTCAAAGTGTTTCGACATCCTAAAAAGATTGTTACAGATTCTTGAATTTTCTTTCTTTTTAACGGTCTTTTTAAAATCAATATTGAATTGAAGCATTCTATGCAGAATAAAGGTCAGTGATTCTCTATTATAACACGATTTTATGACTTACATGCGGCTTAGATATTGATCAGTGGTTTTGAATCACTCCGCAGATTGTAAAATGATTTTTTTTCTTTTCGAGCGTTGCAAAAACTACGATGAATTCATCAATATTGAATTTTTTCTTGTAGAGAATTTGAGAAATTCTCTTTTTTTCTTCTTCAGTTTTTTTTCCTTTAAACGCAGAAGGTGGTTAGAAAAGGGATTTATTTGAAATCTGCATTTAAAAATCGAAAAGAAAGACTATCAATTGAAATTCTCAGAATAATAAACATTTGTTTCTGAAAAGTTAGATTGGTTTACAGTAACACTGATATTTCTTTCTTTCTATGCAAAAGGAAAATTCAAAAATGAAGTTTCGAAAAAATATCCGTATTGGAGAATTTTTTTTTTGCAAAATTGTTGTACACCTATAGTATACAGTATGCAATACTGAAGTTTATATTTTGGAAATTTGAAAATTTCACAGCTGTAAGTAAATCTGCACTAGTTAACAAATCTCTCTCTCTCTCTCTCTCTCTCTCTCCCTCCCCCTCTCTCTATACTGACGACATTATATTTCTATTGTATCGTATCTACAACTGTACTAGAATTTTCTTTTTGAAAAGATTCATGGTCAACGAATAGAAATTAAATACAAAGTATTTAAACAACCCACGATGCGAGTAATAGACACTGTCCAAATCTAAGGACACACTGACCTTTCTCAGGACAAAAGAGAGAGAAAGAGAGATTAGAATGGACAAACAATAACATTTAGCTACAACTAAAATTCAACTTGAAACAAATCTATATTACATGAGAGAGGGAGAGAGAGAGAGATTTCTGTTGATCAGTAATTGTTTTGCCCTATGGGATACTAATTGTCGTGAAACCTTGTTATAGTATACGTATATCGAACATTAAATTGGTGTACTTCCCGAAATAAAACACCAAACCATGACTTCGCGTTTTAATTTTTTGTGTCATACTGTTTTAACAAGAAATCAATAGTTATTGGCTTAATAATTAATCACTTTAAACATCAGAATGACAATTATTTATATTGATCTTGATTTAATGCTTGATTTATTTTTTAAAAATTTTCCTTAATTTTTTCAACAATTAAAATCAATGATTAAAATAACAATGCAATGTCTGAAAAAATTACGTCAAGAATATAATACATTTCAAATCAAAATCAGTATTTTCAATTTATTTGAAAAAAATATAATATTTCATATATAATAAGATATGATTTTCAATATACTTAATGAAGGATTAATGAACATATTCCACTTTTTAAAACACATAAATATTTATTTTAAACAATGCACAATTTAAAAAGTCGAATGTTGTACACAGTAGTATGCTTTACAAAAATCCATTCAAGATTGTGTAATAACCATATATTTACATATATTAATTGCATAACATGTTAGAACAAAAACAAACATGATTATCCCAAACATCATTATGCATTTCTGATTTCGATCATTGGGTTATATGTAACAAAAAACCCTTGCGTCACCCCCTATTGTTGATAAATAATTTAACAATATGAAGGTAAGTCTTACAAAATATTCAGTGAATCGAATTGGTTCATTTCCAACTAAAATGAATAACACAAGTACAAGCACCTCTAGATACTACATATAAAATCTTCTACCCATCGATTTCAACTTTTTGATAATTTATGATTTATGGGCACTGAAAATCTTATTAGAAATACATGTGCGACTCCTTTTGCAGTTTATGTTAACAAAATATTATACAATTATTGCTGGTTTTTGAGGTCAATACAATGATTTAGCCATCTGAGGAGTACAATATTCACCGAGCCCGAAGGGCAAGGTGAATATTGTACTTCGAAGGTGGCGAAATAATTGTATTGACCGAAAAAACAGCAATAATTGTTTTATTATATGATTCACGGATAAAATGAAACAGCTTATTTTATTAAGTCCTAGCCAAATACAAGAGAGAAGCAGAATTAAAATGTGAATAAACATTACCAGTCATATCAATTTGAAATGTTTTTTTTTTAATCAATTTAGTTGCCATGAAAAAAATATATAATGTCAATCTTTTTCATAGGATAGATTTTGAAAAGGAAGGAGTATCATCAGGGAAAACTAACTGCCAAAAAGTAAAAAAGTAAAAAAAAAAAACATGTTCAGTAAAAGTGTTTGAGGAGGGTCCCTGCATCCCCTCTTACCACCCTCACCTAAAATATATATTCACTTATATTTTGTTCACATGAAAATAGAAATCATAGTCGTTTAAATAGCTTTCTAAAACAATTTGTACCAATTTGGATTTTCCCAATCTATTTTTAGATCAATGTAGAGGAAATAAATCCTTGTATTGACCTGGAACGTCACGTGCAGGTCAATACAACGTAATATTTTTCTAACATAGTTGGATCTCAGCCAATCAGAGAGATGGAAATTATTCAATCATATAATAATACAAAATATCGACATGAAATATGTGGAGATATGCTTCCTGTCAGTTTGTCTCTATGTAACCCATACCCTACTATTCTCGCATAGTGGTCTAAGGATTTATATAGCGTAAACATACTATGCCGAAATTTCTTCCATGCACATGCCGGGGATCGAACTCACGACCATGAGATTGTCAGTCCGATGCCTTATCGACTACGCCATAGAGACGATCACTTATTGGTGCAATTTTATTAAATATATAAACTTAATTTATACAATTGACACAAGAAGGAGAAAATAGACAAATATTATTTGAAAACAGTTATATTATTCTAAGGAATTTTAGATTAATGTGTACAACAAACTTTCAAACTAATTACATACAGATCGTTAGATGAACTGATTTTATAGGGTCATTAAAACGCTTTTTTATATGACGCTTGATTGAAGGATGTAAAAGAAAATTATCAATGAGAATCGACGTCTGCAAACAAATAAGGCTTACTAACATAACAGAAAACAAGTAGAGCTTTTTAAAAAAGCTAACCGTCTTTAGCAACAATCTTAAACAGTGAACTCATCTACAACTATCAGGCCGTATAATTCTTTTGAATTTCTTGATTTTGTATTTTTCTACATTAGCTTTTTACTGGCATTAGCCCTACCACGGTTGTCGCTCGGTCATCTCCGTAAACTGGCCCAGAGCATTCGGCAAACCTCGGCTGATTCCATTCCCTTCTTCAAACAAGAAAGCAATCTCTCACCAGAGGGCGTTGTATACGCTCCGCTCCAACACGGAGCGGAGCGCGCCCTCTGGTGAGAGATTGACAAGAAAGGGGAAAAGAATAATAACAAATTGTAAAGCCTGCAAGCAATTAAAATCAAATTTTACTTATAATGAAATTAGAGATCTTTTTATTTATTACTATACAAAAAATCATGTTATTAGGAATTAATTACTGCTGATTTTGTTGTTCGTTTTGTCATTTTTATAAGATTGAAAATCTTGCAAAATTGTTAAGTCGTACGAAAATTAGATCATCAGAAAGTTATCTCCCTTGCCTTGAACAGCATTTCAACCAATGAAATAATTGAAAATTTTCTCATCATTCATTTTCTACCAATCACAAAAAAGAGGAAGTGCATAGTCCGAAGACTGTAAAAATCTTCAACTATACAATACCGTCTTCCAAGGAAGACGGTAATAAAGATGTGTTGCTTTGGGACAGGAAATCCTGACTTATTTAGAGAAAATACTAGTAACCAAAATAACTAAGCATACAAACAATTTTAGCATGAATATTTTGAATGAGTTCTTGCAAGTGCGCTGTTTAAGCACCGATATTTTCAGGAAAAAGTCAAATAGATTGCGGCATAAATAATTACAACAGTCAGCATAATAATAACAATAGTGTTGCATTATGCATGTACTATGCCTAAATAGTGACACATACTCGCCTCCGGCTCGTGCACCATGTGTCAAACCCTGCCTACTATTTAGGCATAGTACATGCATAATGCAACACTATTATATAAGTATTGAAGCCCCATTAACATTACAAGTTAGGAGCAGAGAGAACACGGACCTCTAAAACATTGGAGGTGGGATCAGATACACGGAGGAGTGAGCATCCCCTGCCGACCGGTCACACCCGCCGTGCGTGTGCTCCTTGACATGATCGGAAAATAACGAAAAAATCAGTCGGAATTCAATATGTAAATAATGTCATAATGATTTAGTGTATGAAAAACGTCAGTCAGCATTTGACTTAATGATAAATTGTATTTGCTGTCCTGGTCATGGAAGAGACAAAGAAACTCATGAAATGATGACTTTAACTCTTTACAACTTACTGAACTGTTATGCAACATACACTTAATGTTCACGTCATAGAAATAGATATTTACCATTTCCCCGCAAGCACCTTATAGCGGAGTACACGTTTCTCTAAAGTTTAGCGTAAATAATATCATGACGTAATATTTTGATACAAATATAACTTTTCTTATTTGATGAGAATTTTGCAAGTATAAAATAGAAGGAAATGGGCATTAAATTTAAGATTAAATGAACTTTTTAAAGTGCGTGAAAATGCGTGATTGCGGGGAAACGGTATATGCGTGATTTTGCGTTAGAAATAGGAAATGCTATATGCGTTAAAATGCGTGACTGCGAGGAAGGGGGTTAAGCAAGACTCATATAATTGTTTCACCTACTTGTTTGTCAATAACTTCGTTTTATAAATTGTTCCTACGTAGAACCTGCTCTTGCGTATGATTGAATAAACTGAGAGATTATAAACCCCGTATGCAAGTGATAAGGGTTTATAACTGCATAAGAAAGGGAAGTTAACAATTGAAAATTTAGAGCTATCATCATATCATGTTTATCATAAAGTATACATTATTTAAGGAATGAAGCTTATTTCAACTTTCAGTTTATAAAAAAGCGTAAACTGCCCCAAGTTATGTTATATCGTATAACATAAAATGAAATAAGCTTCATTCCTTATAATTTAATTTCAGTGTAGACAATGAGACAATCTTTCCATTTTTTCCTTCGGAAAAAGGCTTCAAATATCGCATGTTTTAAAAGTTAACGTCAAGCGGAGTAATACGTTTTTGACGTAACTCGTTGTGACGTAGGCAAGTTATATTATACAAAATGGATAAAACCAATCAAATGACCTGTTACAACTAAAATTATATATAAATATATATTATTTTGAAAATATTCAACTGAACCACAGACACCTGCATGACGTTACTTATTTTTCTTTTAATAAAAAACATATACATGTACCCCCTAACCTAATAATTCACCCTTGTGTATTATTATATATGTAGGGGGTATATGTTTTTTATCAAAAGAAAAATAAGTAACGTCAGGTACCTGTGAAATGAACGAAGTAATTTTACGTCGAATATACATGTATATAACTTTTGCTCCACTTTTATGCATAAAATTTTTGTACAAATCAATAGAGCCAAAGTTTGATATTTTATTGAGATTGAAATAACCGAGGCCTGACAATATGAATGTTTACTTAGGACGATCACCCTTAATTGTAATATGATAAAATTCCTAAAACATGCTATTTGTATTTGTCAATTTATAAGCAATGTTTATAGACATAAATCTTTGACGACTATAGGCAAACTGATTGATTTGACGTGTATTTTACGACTTTTGAACTTCTTTGATATTAGGATGCATGAATATCGTTGTACAATCTAAACTCTTCTATTCTCAAGAAATCATCTTTTATACTAACTTCGTAACTACGTACATATATTAACATATAAAGTAAAGCACTACTGTAATGTTTTTTTTTTGGCAGGATCTGGTGCTGAGTTTCATAAAATAGACATTTGTGAGCATACAGGACTTCAATGAAATCTTAAAAATGCCGTCCAAAGTCTCAGTATCTTCCGTTTCCTATGACGAGCCATCAACTGGAGTTAATGACGTTTCCAACTCTTCGTCATGTCCGAGCTGCCAAGTTCAAGTACCACCGGAAGTAGATCGACAGAACATGCAAATTTCGGATGGAAGCACTAGAGACGAATCAAAATGCTCCCAATGTGGAATTCTGATACTAAAAATAGCCACTGGCCTGTTAAGTGGTGTCCTATTAGGAATTGCCCTGGAGAAATCTCGAGGTATTTCGATTTATGCAGTCAATTTATAATAATTTTATTTGAATTTAATTGAAATAGCGATAATATATTTTCCCCAGGAAGAATTCGCAAAAACTAAACGCCATAATTATGACCAATTTCAACAATTACTCAGATTTTCTCAGAGAGATTTGAAGTAATTCTCAGAAAATTGTAATTTATGGATGTTTAGACTAATCGAAACCTTCAGATAAATCAAGTTGTACGCAGAAAAGTGTTCTTGGTGGATTTAAAAAAAAATGATCGAACGATTATACATTTATGTTGTGATTCGAGAATTTTATTGATGGATTAAAAAGAACTGATTGAACAACCAGGTACATTAAGTTTTACCCAGATGACTTGTGATAGATTTGATTTGCTCACGTTTATTGGAACATAAAAATTGTAATTAAAAATATCTTTATTAAAAATTGTGTCATTGCCAGTAGATTCTCCTTACTGTATCTTACATCTAGGACAGAACATTTTTACTGTAGCAGAACTCTTCTGTTCACATTGTTTAGAGATTCCATTTTGATGAAAAAAATTAAAAGCAAAAAGAATTCAAACAGTATAAAATTACTCATAAAAATTACCAAAGATAACTTATTTGATGACAATTGCTGATATACTAGAAAAAGTGAAAATATTAAATGATTTTTAAAGAAAAATCTACATTGTTTTTATTGAATAGTTTTTATTGAATAGAGAACATGTAATTATGTAATAACGTAAACACGTAATTATGTTATCTAAATAAGACATTAAGCAAAAATAAAAAAAATTAATAAAATAAAATAAAAAATAAAAATATTTTTTTCTGCAGTATTTGATCCTAAGAGTGTTCGGAACCAGATGGTATTTGAGAGTTTCGCCATGCTTAAGATGTTTCTGTCTGCTGTGGCAGCAGGTATTGTTAATGAACGTATTTTAATTTTTAGAATATTTATCAACCTACAATTTAAAATAAAAAAAAAATCATTGAGGGAAATGACAAGATTTCAAATGGTTCCTCGTCAAGTAGACAAAGAGGGAAAGGGGCGAAAGGCATGGGTGTCTTAAGCTAGAACAGCTTTTTTTCTTCGAAAAATGCTAATCACAGATAACTGATTGTTGTTCTCAGTGTGTTTTGCACTGATCAAAAACTATTGCAAAAAATTATTATACTGAAACAAATCTCTTACCTGAAGTACAGCTGGAAATTCACAATTTTTCAATACAGGTCAGATAGTTATGTCCATCATATCAGTGATCCCAAGGACGAAGCAGTTCTTTGAGCGAGCGGCTGAACAATTTGTCGCCTGTTTTGTCCAGAAGGGGATTCTCTCTACTGTACTGGGCTCCTTTATATTTGGAGTGGGGATGTCCCTTTGTGGGGCTGTAAGTATAACATCATTATAATTGTTCTATGTATACGAAGGTTGTTCGAAAAGTTCAGGACTTTTGTCATATCTTTTTTTTTTTGACGTCATATGTTATCGAAATTTGGTAGAAATATTTTAACAATAAATCCAAATGATTTGCATTGATGTTTTTTTTTTAAATATCACGATTTATTCAAAACTGATCCAGATTTTAAAAATGCAAAAATTAAATCGAGGAGCAGATCAAAATTTGTAAGTTACAAACAATACACTAAACAATCTCTGTACTCATATTCTCTGTAAAATGAAGCAAAAACGAAAAACAACCTAGCCATTCAAATTAAGAAATGTTACATCGATTCGTACTCAAATTATGGCTTAATATTTTGCTTTGTTAAAAAGAAATCAACTTAAGCAGCATCGGCATTCTTTAGAATCGACGTTTCCCTTCAAATAAGTAGAGATACATGTATAAACTGTGTGTATAAACATGACATATTTGATGCCTTTAGCTTACGATACATATTAATAACTACATGACATAGATCGAATATTAAAAATATCAAAATAGTTTAAAATACAATATGTATATTTTGATTACATATTTTGGTTTTAATTTATCTTGATATGTACAAATGTAGCTTTCGATTAAATTACGAGTACAAATACAAATATATAAATAGTTTGAAGCCAAGGACATGCTATATATACCAGCTACGTCGTAGTTAAGTCACATTTTTTGGCTGTGAAGAGAAAAAAATTGTAAAGACATAATCTAAGGCCCATTTTCCCCCAAATTATCAAAAATCTAATTAATGAACCTGTAAAACTTGTCATATTTAGCTTATATTGTATTACCTTTTTGGAAACCTAAGTTTTGGTTTTGATTGAGTATATGTTAATAATAAAAAGAACATTTAATACATTCCTTTTGTCTTTGTCAACTGAGCTATACGAAGTAAATTCTTCAAACGTCAATCAAATGTACTTTTTTGAACACCTGTACAGAGCTTCAAATTTCACTTTCTGTTTCCAAATATGTGGATATAATTTATTGAATCGATATAGGCCTAGTGGGTCTATTGCAAAATCGAAAGGAATCCCTAAATCAGCATTAAGTTTTTTTTTTCTTATTTATAACAGTAATGAAAATAAAATTAATATTCAAGGTTAATTAATTATTTCCAGTAAAATCTCAAAGTTGTTGAAGTATTTGATGAATATTTCCCCGTATTCTGAAGACTTTATACATTTATGATATTATATATGCAGTTATTAACAGACTTTAAACTTCTGCAATTAATTGTTATTGTCATTATATAACATATATTTAAATGTGGAAAAAAATTTTTCAAACAAAAGAACATAAAAATTAACTCTTTATCTCTTACATGTAAAACCATAGCCAAGGGTCAAGTTAACGTAAATACATGTATTGTTTATCATATTTAAGGAGAGACATCTTTAAAATAAAACTATAATATCAATTCAGTCATGCTCCCGAGATTCAAACTAAATTTGCTTATTTTCAAAAAAAACTTTTTTATTCCATAATTTTTAAAAGGTTTTTTTCTCTTGAAAGAAGCACTGTCCTGTTATTCTGCAACTGGAATTTTAATTTTCATCCGATAATTCAAAGCGGGTTTGGTTGAAATTGGTTCAACGGTTCTGTAGTACTTGTCAATCCAAATTAGATAAAAATTCTGTAATCTCTAAAAATATTTTCAAAGATACATGTTATACAAATGTTTAAAATTTAAAAGCAACCTCTTCACGGAGAGTTATGAGCTGACATCCACGGCAATTTTTTCTAAAAGAGGTAAGCAGGATGAAAAATATTTCTAAAACTCCTGGGTAGTGATATTTAATGCGCACCGGTTTTAATCAATACCCGACCTTGACCCAATTAAAGAAGTCCTAATAAATTATCCTTACAAGTTGCCCACGACCTCCAGTTTATGATTCTAAACAGCATCTGACCTTGAACCAAAAAAAAAAAAAAAAAAAAAAAGAAACCTAAAAAGTTTGACCAATTTTATCAATATCTAGTGCATTATGTAAATTTAACACATTTTTCTATTCACCTGAATGACGCAGCTTGAAAAGCGAGAAGCATTAAATACAATGTTGTTTATGAAAATAAATTCATTATTTATGTTAAGAGGTATTTAAATTCTCTTTGATAAAGAACTTAAAAGAGATTTTATTTCATGTAAGTAACAATGCATATGTAGGTTAAAGGTCTTTTTTATCACCTCTCTCTGAAATACACCGGCGAAAAACTCGCCTTCGTGAACTTGCAAAAATCTTGCATCATCAACCGTTCATTTGTCAGTGCGTAATTAGATACCCGGCGACAAGGTACATGTAATTACACCTTTCCAGAATTCTTAGGAATTACTTACAAGGTCCATTCAAATTGTGCAGATGCACGACATTCAATCCAGCCGGAGAATTTTTACTCTTTTTGTCAGTGTAACAATAAAATCTAGTCAGAAATATGAGTCATTAAGCCCTTGAGGTTACCATTCTTTCTATTTTTTTGTTGCAGTGCCCTGCCATGGTTTTTGCGCAGATAGGCAGTGTTGTACCAAATGCAGGTGCGTCCATGTAATTTTAAATTAGGAAACATAATAAAGATTTGAAGTAAAGAGATTTTGGACGGGAGAAGCTTAGAAAAGCTTCATAACCAAAAAAAAAAAAATTATGAAATTGCAATCAAAATTTTATAACAACAAATAAGAAAAAATAAAAAAAGAATTTTAAAGCTTATCATATGAGGATATTGAAAATTATTCTTGTCTCATTTGTTTATATAAATGTAACATTAGAAAAAAAAATTCTGTTGATAGTGTTCTCTCTGATTGGTGGATTATTCGGCGCTCTGACGTACGGATTAGTTGCTCCATACATAGAAAAAACAACCAAGCCAAAGAAACCCCTTGCAGTACACCAGTAAGTATTACAAAACTTACAACAACAAAAAAAAAGAAGTCAAATTTACACACGTGCGGTTTTCTTCCTTCGAAAATAAAAAAAAGAAATTGCCTTGTTTCAGAGTTTATAAAAAGTTCAACCTCCCGTACATAGCGCTTGCTCTTCCGATGGCAGTTTTTCTGGTCGGAGGAGTTGCCGTTCTTGAATGGCTGTGGCCAATGAGTAAAGACTTAGTTAATTTGAATGTAAGTAATGAAATCAAAAGTAAAGTACCATATGCATCTATCATCAGAACTTCTTTTGTTAAAAAACCTTATCATGACTAGTCATTAATTATGTTGTCATTTTTTATGTGTATAAAAAAATTAATATTCGTCATTTTATATTTAATACTATTATTTGATTTTATATATTTTTTCTCTTTCCAGATTGAAATTAGTTCAGACAAGAATTTTATGCAGCAGATTGCTTGGCCGCCATATGCTGCAGGTACGTTTCCAACAAGAAATTCTATTGCATCAAGAAAGTAATTGGAAGTAAATTGATTAATGTAGAATTCTAAAATGAGGTCACAGCAACCTTATATTGGAACATGAAACACTTTCTTGCAAGATGAAAGAATAAGAAAATCATAAGAGATACCGTAATATACAATGTACCTATAATTTCAGAATTGTGGCTCTCCGAAAAAAATATATTGACAGTCTGGACTGTCAGTATGTTTTTTGGAAGAGCTTCAGTTCTGCAGCAATCAATTTGATTAAAGAGAAATTAATTATATATACAGGTGTGTTGGTGGGACTGTGTCAGATCCCGGTGGTTCTAGTTCTGTGTGACACGCTGGGTGGATCCTCCTGTTACGCCACCATAGTGTCCCAGTGGGTGGTCACAGAGAGGCTACAGAAACTGTTCCCGTACCTGGCCAGGTGTAGGGGCGGGATGGGCAATTGGTGGCAGGTGAGACACTGCTAATTATTTAGCTTTTAATCAGCACCAGACGAACGATTTTGAAATCTAGCCATATATAGGACATCTATTGAAAACATGTAAATGCCGATAATACATATACTTTTATTCTGCTCATGCCTACAAACACATTCTGTGGCATTAATCAGTTTCGAATTACTTCATTTTACTCTCTTGTTAGGTGTTCCTAGTAATTGGGGTAACAGGTGGCGCTGTTTTGTCTGCGGGACTGTCATCATCAATCGGAAGCATAGAGGGCGTAAGCGTTCCTGACGCTGTGATTGGCGGGGTCCTCATGCTTTGGGGATCACGGTTTGCTTCAGGGTGTACAAGGTATTATACAGTAAGAACAATAAGTTGAAATTGTCCGTTTATTTAACACTAGGGCATATATATTAATTTAATAATAATATCTATGAATTAATAAAGAATAAACGTAATAGACATTCAAATTCACATTCATACCATGCATGGTATTTGTAATTTTGTAAGTATCTGTCCCTTCTTCTAGCAAACCCAATCTTGTTTGCTTTCCTTCGGAAAAGACCCTAATAGATATATTTTTTATGTAATATTATTTGGAGGAATTTTCATGTTTTCTTAAAGTAAAATCGGAAAAGTTGCACCGAATTTTCTCGAGAAACGTCATCTTGCAGGTTTTCATTTTGTTTCTTCTGGAAATCTCTTATCCTCCAATGTGACATTCATTTCTCTGTTTCAGTGGACATGGCATATCCGGTATGGGTCTGTTCGCCTGGCTGTCACTTCTAGCTGTGCCTTCCATATTCGCCGGGGGAATATCAACGGCTTTTCTGATGAAGTTGACAGGCGTCAAAGACAACTTTGTCACCTACACCGGTGCAGTGTGATTTTTAAAAATATACATGTACATTTGTTTTATATTTCCGTTTGGACCTTACGCAATGACTGCCTTGGTTTGAGGACATTTGTACTTTTTAAAATCACAATGTGATTCTAGCACACCTTAGTGTATCATATAAATGAAACGCATCACGACTATTCACAATTTCTTTGATCATTATTACCACTGATTTCTTGTGCACGTTCTAGTATTATTTATCTTTTCTCAAACATTTGAACTTCTTTTTTTACATTGTGCCATATTCTGTGTAAAAAGGGAGTTAAATCCAATCAAAATGATGGAAAATTGTTATATATATGTACGATGTAGTTATATATTTTTATTATTCATGTTGATATGTAACTTAAGATGGAAGATTACTGTAATCTTGTTTAAAGAGTATGCTTCCTTTAAAGCAATTTAACAAATCAATTTGCATTAATGAACTCAAAGTTTTGTCCTGTTAAGTATACACTGACATTAATTTATTTGAAATTTATTAATTTTCCCTTTTGTTATAGAAAATTGTGACAAATACAGAAATGAAAATAGTAAAAGTTTATCTTCCTTGCATAAAATATATTCATAATAAGTATAATAGATCTGTTCAAAAAATACTCATTCAGATATACTTGTATAATATTATGCCATTTATAAACACGTATTTCAACTGATGTGCATTGCACCTTTGGGCATGTATTCATTGTTTACAATTGTTGATTTTTTTTGATTACTTTTTATATATTATCACTCTGTATTTGGAAGAATATTTTGTTATAAATAAATAATGTTGTTATACTGAGATGTCGTTTTCCCATTATTTGTGCATTTACGGTCTGTCCTGTTGAATATATATATATCTATTTATCCTATGATACAGTATTAATCTCAATATTAAATGAAAAAAAAAATGAATCAATCTGTTTTTGCCAGTTGGTTGCGAAAGGACAAACAAACGAAGTTTTTAAGAATGAACTTCTAAATAATTCGTGAAGAAGAGAGGAAATCAAGAATTACTTTAAAAATTAGATACTGGGTGACAGAGCTGACAATCAGACCATGTATGTGTTTAATATTTAGAGAAAATATTGTGACTTACCATTGGATTCTAATTTTTAAGAAAGCTTCATAAATAGGAGCGGAAGGACCGAAAAGGTTAAAAGTACCGGGTATATCATTCGACTAAATGAAGAAAGGGATATTTAAATATTAATTAAAATTTGTAAAACCAAATACTTGGTTAAAAAAAACATTCATCTGTAGAACAGGACTTTCGTAAATAAGAAAATTAATACTTTCACAAAACTGTTAAATGTATGTTATTTAATTGCCCGAGGAAATTATAATCGTCGGAGAGTAATTATAATTACAATTTTTTAAAGATAAGATCTTTTTCATATCATTCATAATATCAGCGGCAAAAAACAGGTATCCGATGTTAAAACAGGTGTTTAATATGCATTTAAATGTGCATATAGACATGTTTCTCTGTTAATATCACGCCATTAATCAGCTATGGCAATTAATGAATCTCAGCTCACAGCATTGACAATCAAAAAGAAAAAAAAAGAAATGTAGATTCGAAATCTTAATGTTAATTTTTCTATTGTTTAAAAATAACGGAACATGGGTATGTGTCTTAATGTTGATTAAGGTACGTATAATGGGAGAAAAACATTCTATAAAAGCTGTTTTATTTATTTTTTGTAAACATTTTAATTTAACAATGAAGGTAGATGGTAAATTTAATTATATGTTTAGTCTACCCTCTGTACATTGGATAAATAATGTTAAAAACGGCCACACTAACAGTAAAAAGGTAAGATTATCTATCATGTTACTTATGACATATATAATCAATAAAATAATATTAAATATAAATAAAAAAAAAAATTAATCAATAAATAAAATAAACTACATTTAATTAATAATAATAATAAATATCTGTATTTATAAAAAAATATCTATCTAATCTGAAGGAATTTCAGTGGCACAATTCTTTTTTCATGTTTTCATTTTCACTTACATGGATTTTTAATGTCTAACTTTAATATCCCATTTATTATCTCATATCTTAAATTAGATTTTTGTTTTTTTTTTCGATTATAATTAAAAAATGATTTAAAACATTTAAATTTTTAATTCTTAATTTAGATCTCATTTCTTGATTTTCCAATTTTTATTCAAATTTAATTTTTATTTCTGATAATTTTAACACGAACATCTTGCTTTAATTTTCCTATTCTATTTCTTTATTTCATTTATTGTTGACGTTTTCTTGTTGAAACTTTTCTTTTTTTTAAACTGAAATTTCTCCATATTACTCAAATCTGTATTGCAAACTTTCCAACCTTATTTTGTTAAAAAATGTAAAGAAGCAATAATCTCCATCCCCGTTCTCTGAGTTGGATTTATGAATGAAATATAGAGATAACGAACAATACTAGTATTCAAGCTCAAAAGTCCATTAAACAATACACAATAGGAGCAGAGTAATCACGGACCTCCAAAATATCAGAGGTGGGATCAGATGCCATGGAGGAGTGAGCATCCCCTGCCAACCGGTCACATATACATGTACTTATGCATCTGTGTATACTTCAAGTATCTGTGTTAGTAGTGCAAGCACGTGGTGTGGCATATAATATGATTATACAATACGGTAAACAGCCGAATATTTTTGTATTCTTACTTTTACAGGTAATTCTTTTCGCCAAGAACTCTGTCAACTTCCTGTTATGGAGCGGAGAAGGACGTATAGAGCTCCGGAAACTTCACCTTGTCCAGATTCTGGAGAGAGGAGCAGGATATGTGGAGGAAAATCATGAAGTGACGTGCCGTATCACCGATATTTATCATCGGACAGTGTATTCGTACGCCGAGGACAAATCTATATTCCGCAACGAAATAATAGAAATTCACAAAGCAGGCAAAATGACTGCATATGTTTGGCAGTTTTATAGAAAATGTATTGGACTTAGAAGAACAGACTACAAATTTCTAATTTTAGACTTGACGTATTGTGAAGAAGACTTAGGGGAGACAATTCTCGATGAGAACGCCATTATCCGGATAAATCTCGCCCGCCATTTTGGTTACCTCCATTTGCTTAGTACATTTGTGCATGAATTAGCGCATTTTCTAGAGAATAAATTCTTTGAGGAGGATCATGGAAATACGTTTTATTGTCTAGGAATGACTTTATTAAACATTCTTCAGTGTTCGAACATAGACCTGTCAGAATTTGGTATTTCAAGAACAGACATAAAAAATCTGGAAATATCTATCATGTAAAGTAAATGTTCACATTGTATGAAATAAAATGTAAATACCTTAACTTAGTATTATATTCCGAGTCAATTTGTTTTCACAAGTTTTAATTGTTGATGATTTGTATATATGTATATGAAGAAAAGATGGTCACAGAGGGTTAAGGGATACAGTGTATATGATCTGGCATTAAAAAAATATTACTTCTAAAGTCTCAGATTTTTCCCCGTCAAAACCATTATCATCCTCGTCCTAATCTCATCTTCCTCCCCTTAAACAGCATCAAAGCAATTTTCAATTACTATAATTCAATTCAGTTTTTAAAAATTTTTTTTATTCCTTTCAAATACTTAAAATGTATTCAACTTTTGACAAAATGTGACCATAAAAATTAGACAAGCTCACCTTCTTATCAGTCTTAGTGATTCATCGTCGACATGTGAGACTGAGATAAAAAATGAACTCAGTCTGTGTAATACTTACATGTAAAAATTCAAAATTCTAACAATTATGGATTTTTAGAATTTTAATACAGTAGTTCAAATTTTTAAACTTCAAAAACACAAACTGTTATTGTGTGTTGAAATTTAATTTTTGAACACTGTTATTGTGTGTTGAAATTTAATATTTTTGTTCAAAAATTTTAATTTTCAAATTTCTAAACATGTTTTAGAATGTTTACTTTTTAAACTTTCCTCATAAATATTCGAAATTTAAATTTTCAAAATCAAGTTTGGTATTTTAAGCTTTTGAGTTTTTGTTAACCGATTGTTTAGAAAGTTTACACTTAACGATCTAAAATTCAGTACCAATTTACTTCTTTTGTTGTTTTAGTATTGATTTAAAAATGAGAAATTTCAACTTTCAGAACGTTTGAGTTTTTTGAAATTTGGAATTTAGATTCAAACAGTCACATTACAAATAACCAAAACACTTTTAGTTTTCAGAATTTTCTTCACTTTAAATATCCAAAATACATGTATCAAATTTCAAAACCTAAATTGACTTTTGAATATCAGTTTAATATACTATATATCAAAAAGCTATTTTGCTTGACCAAAAGAGTTTCTGACATGCAGAGTATATACTTTCAAAATTCAAACCTGGATTTTTATATTTTGGATATTTGAAGTAAAGTTCTAACAAAAAGCAAAAAAAAAAAGAAAAGTGTTTTTAAAAATTCAACGTTTTCAAAGTTACAATAACGAAATTTGAAGTTAATTTTAAAATATCAAAATACGAAAAATTGTAATGAACTAGATTGTTAAGCGTTAACTTTCTAAAGAAAAAACACACAAAAGAATCGATAGATCAAACACTCAAATGTTTGAAATACCTTAAAATACCTTGATTTTTTTTTAATTTAGAAATTTGAACTAATACACATATATTTGAATTTTAAAACTCTAAATCATTTCAGAAATTTGGATTGTTAAGTGTTACACGGACCTAGAGTTATTGCTCTTTTCATCTCTCAATAGTTTAGAAACTACACATTACTGCTATTTGAGGAGTCAAACATGGCCTTAAAGGTTCGTTTCAATAGGATTGTTAGATGATCCCTTGATGTGTTTTGCAAAAAAAGTCGTTAATTAATGGAATACATGTAGTACTAGTGTTCTCTAGTAAATTTATTCAATTTAAATTTATACACTAGTCTGACAATTTGTCATATATATAAATTATATTTAATGAAAGTGATATTTTTCTTAATTTGATTGAGGGCACTAATATTTGGATTTAAGCA